AATTTTGGAGATTTGGGGAAATTTTAAAGTCTGTTTCATGGGAATAAAATTAAATTGATGACCAGAAAATAAAGGAATTAGTTTTCTGGGGGGAATATGACATGCTTTCAGTAAATCCTTGTTAACGAGGGGTAGTAGATATATCAAATTGTGAATTCTTCATTTTGAGTAATTATAAAATCACAGTTACTCCGCTTTTCTCAGAACCATGTTTAGATAAAAGTTTAAAGAACTTGCCGTTTGTGTATAATGTACGTCTAGGTATTTTAGGAATAAATTCTGTAGGTGATGAATTCCGTAGTCCACGTAGTCAGTTGAGTGCCTGGTGTGTGTCAGGTACGGAGAAGGAATAGGTCATTCGCACAGTCCTGCTGTGGTTACAGTCCACTTCTTTCAGTCAGCCTGATAGTGTGTGCTGATAATGCAGAAGTCAGTCAAGAAACAGGAATGGAATACAGAGTGATTCTGATGGACTTGCTCATGTACACATGGTGATGGAAATAGTACTTCGTAAGCACAGACTTACAGCACATGTATCAGATGAAACCTCCCCATGCTGAGTACATAAATTCAGGTATCCATTCCGTCTAAAAACAAAAGCTAAACTCACTTGTACCCTGTGCACAAAATAACTCCTACCGTATGCATGAATGAGCTTGATATTGAAGCTTTTTGATTCATGCAAAACTTTTCAGTTTATTTCTAGTAGCTTTGTTCACACCTTCTTTGGCAAAGAAAAAGTGACTGAAAACACACCAAAGCAGAGAATAGTTAACTTCATGTTGAAAGGTTCAGACTCTCTGATAGAGGAAAGAAATCTAAAGAGACAGTTTTACTTCTTAAAAGCTAATATCAAAGGGAATGTAAGAATCGAATAATATAGAATAGTAAAATAGTAACTTGCTGTTTTTATAATATTCATAAAGAAAAAAGCATAAAAAAAGTAAAACACGTGATTTCACTACACATATATATTCCTCATGTTTGTGTTTTATTGCCTAGTTATCACGTATGTGCACAGATACATCTGTGATATGACTGATGCTGAAGATGATCATCACCTTTGCCGACTCAGTTCCTTAATAGAGATCACACTAATTTAGGAATCCTCAGGATGTGTTCATGAGATTTGTGAGAATTTTGTAAGTTTTCCCTTTGTTTTATTTGGATATGGGTAGTAAATATTTTTGAGTAGTTCAAACTCTTCTACAGATAGCTACCTTTTGAAAATGACCCATTTTTATACCATCGAGGGGTTTCCTGAGTATCACATCTTTAAAAGAAGGAATCAGGAAATCTGGCTGCAAGTCCTTGCTTCATCTCTTTAGACCTCCCTCCCTCATTTAGAAACCAAAAAGTTTGAGTTATTTCATCTCCCAAGTCTCTTCCAGTCCCTAAAGTGATGCCAGCAACTTGCCTAGGTCCTTTGAGATATTTGAACAGTTTCGAGAAAATCTCAAATCGCAATGAAAGAAGTTAGCATTGTATCTATATGGAAGTACAGAACAAAACTTCAAACAGTTGCTGCTCATTACAGCTGATATGCTATAAATGGTTGTTGACACTAAGACCAGATGTCATGGAAAATCCTGCATCATTAGGAAGCTATGGGGTGGGGAAGGAACCTATGTGTGAGAATGTCAGTAGAATCTATTTAAAAACCAACCTAAAAAGTGATTGCGTTCTAAGAATTTAGAGAGAATCTCAGTATGTAAAGATTAACATAATAGGTTGCATTTATTTTAGGAATACAGAAATTCCTCAAGTTATGAATATTCATTACAAATATTTAATGTCTGCACATTGAAATGGCCACCTGCACAGGAGTGTCATAGTTCTTCACTAATGTGTATATATTGTCCCTTCCAGAGGATAGCGGTCCTAAAATCCAGTGGGATTTTATTATTCCATACATGCTATTGTGAGATAGAATTTATACTTATAATGTTCATTTGAGAGATGAAGGAACTAATTAATTAGCTTCCAGAGTCTATGGGTTGCCCATGTCCACATAGTTAATAACAGTCAGCCCCAGGACGTAAGCCCAGATCTTCACCCTCTTTCTAGATCACCGTGTTGCCCATTTCTTTCGTAGTGCTAGGCCCCTGTGGTCAACCATAGCTGCACTGGAAGGACTGTGTTTCTCATCTCACCTTTCTCATTTGCTTTGAAGAAAATCAAAATAGTGTGATAGTAGCAGATAAGAGTGGAGATCCTTTTTTAAGGAAGTGCCACTGATTAGCTGAGAGATCCTACTATTTATATGACCACAAATTATCTTCCTTCCTATAGGCATTCAGAATTTGAACTAATCTACTTGCCAATGAACTTTTGTAGTACAATGTATTTTTAAGTTGGAGGCTATATGGATGTTAGAACATGATAACAGGATTATTCAAACTGATATATTCCAAAGAGTTGTATGTGATATTTTTAATACTTCATTGAAGCTGACCATTAGAAGCAATCTCGTGATGAAATTTTATAAAGTGAATGAACCTTTAGTAAAGTCAATAATCATCCTAATTTTTCTGTTTGCATTCCATAATTCTGTATTTTAGGCTTGCCTAAAAGATATACATAAGCATGAAACCATTTCAGTGCTATTAACTTTTATATTTATACAGTAACCTTGGAATAGCCCTGCCTTTTCCTGAACATAACTGCAGCTGAACAGTCTTCATGGGTAAAAGGTGAAACACTGGTCCACACGGACTTTTTATTTTCCTGGATGACTCACAAGGCCCCCCAGAGAAGTCTTCTAGATCATTTCTAGGTGTGAATATTTGCCCTACTCATTCAGAGGCCATGCATGATTAAGCTCTAAGGCATTCCATTTCTTCTGAATTGGCAGATACTTGGGGTTTTAGGGCAAAATGCACACAGCACTGCCCAGAAGCTTTTCAATTTAGTGATAAGAATAAAAGCACATTAAATTTTTTGTTTGTTCGCTGATGACACTGGTATTTGCTCAACAAACCTTCAATACCACTTGATTTAAAAAGACTTAAAGTGATTGTGATTTCCAAAGTGATTGGAACTCTTTTCTTGAATGAGTCTGTGGTTGACAAATCAGGACAGATGTGTATTAGCAGAGATCTCTGACGTCTCAGTGCTTTCGAAAATGAAGGTTACAAAGAAATAAACTGTTGCTTACAGTTTGATGTAGTTTTTCCAAGTTATTTATTCCATAAACTAATAGCTGAAAATTACTTCTTGATTATATTAGAAAATGCATGAATGTAGTAGACCTGAAATTTTAGTTCTGAAAATAGAAGGTCAAATAATAATGTAACATGGTTAGATACTGTAGTATATTGCTAGACAAATTACAGCTCCAAGTAATTTCGAATGTTAGGTTTTACTAAAAGTTATTTCAGCATGGAAATCTTTCATATTCTTGAGACATCTTCAGCCCAAATCCAAATTAAATTATCATGTATTTAGTGCTGAGGTCATTCGAAACCCTATCAGCCCTAAAACATTACAAAGCTTTCCTTACAATTACCAATTGTCCTAATAGTGACGAATCTGATGGCAGTGAGCAGCAATAGCCTGAAGAAGTCTGGTATTTGATGAAAACTTACTTGCCTACACTCTTATTTCCTGTAGACTTAACCTAATTTCTTCCAAGTTCTGGTTATGAGTCTTTGCTAATTTGCATGGCTGGCTTAATTAATCAATGAAATATTGGTTTAGGCTGTGTTTATACAAGGTCAAAACAACCAACAGACTCGACTGATTCAGAAAGAAAAAAAAGTAGCAAATTTCATGAAAAAATATGAAATTCATTGTTTGTCGGTATATAACCAAAACCAATTTGATTGACTGAGTTTTTAAAATTTTCAGGTAGTTGTTTTGGCACTTGTGGAGTCCATTATTTCCCAACTTTTTTCAGTCTGAGACACACCTCTAAATTTGCTGGCCTTGTCCCAGGGTAAAAAGATGTTGAACCACTCTCTCATGTATATACACCAACCCTGCCATGTGTTCATCCAGATATTTGGGGGTGAAGAGACTTCTCTGTGTGTGTTAAGCAGCCTCCTTTTCCTGACCATCTTCTTCTTTCATGTCTTAGAATCTACACAGGTGGTCCGGGGAAATTCAAGACTTTGCCATGGTGCTTGTTTTCAAAGTGCCAATGTGTCTCAAAGCTCTGGTTGGGAAACGGTGGTATAGACACAGCCTTATTCCAAGACTGAGTTATCAGTCCTTGAGTGATGATAAATACCCAAGAAAATAAAAATGTATCTTTCTTATAGTATTCCAAGATGTGAAAATAAATATATAAGTAATGCTTTGAATCACACTTTGAAGACATGTAAATTATGTTTTAAAAAACTGGCTTATAAATAAAAAAAAAGCTAACTATAACATTTGGCAAATAGTAGTACAGTCTTTCTGCCTTTAAGAATAAACAGATTCTTAAAGACAGCAATTTTAATACGTAATTCAGAATAAGACTCCAAAATTTGTACAGAAATTGTTTGGAAACATTGAAGAATCAAAATCACTACATTTGGGTCCAAACTCTTGAAGTCAGCTAGGATTTAATTTGCACCATTTCATTTGCCAAATGTCTGCAGATTGGTCCAACTCTTGTTATCTTTTTGCCAAGTTTCCTTCTGCTGAAAATGTCTATGCTCTGTTAAGCTTCTAAGTCAATGTCCATGGCCAAGTCTGGAACTCAGGTGGCCCTTGGAAACATGTGAGCAGGTCAAGACAGGTGCTTCCATTCATGTGATCTCTCCCCAAGTGTTTTCTCTCTTCTGTCCAGTAACTTTCTAGTACATTTATGCATTTGTCTGAAACCTGCACACATGATCATTTTTAATCATTTTCTAACCATGTTTTCCCTGGGATTTAGGAATGACAGTCTCCAGGAGAGAGAACAGTGCATGACTTTTTTTTTCCCCCAATCTTATAAAGTGTTGTTAGCTTTGAATAGTCACTTAAAATAGGTTCTCACTTCAGTCTCTTTTTTTTCTTTCTAAATAAAGCCTGAGAATTTGCTTTTAGCTAGCAAATCCAAGGGAGCAGCTGTGAAACTGGCCGACTTTGGCTTAGCCATAGAAGTTCAAGGCGACCAACAGGCGTGGTTTGGTGAGTAGGGCCTCTCTCTCCTTTCTACTGCTCTCATTCTTCTGGCTCCAGGCGTATCCCACTTTCTAACCAAAATAAAACGGAAATGTTCATGCTGTTACCAATTTGACTCATTTTAAGATATTGGACCTTTATAAGCACTTGATTTTACTGCCATTAAAGGGCATATAATCTAGAAATATTTTAAGAGAAAATATCAATAGGGGAGCAATAACACATAGACTTTTTTTCTTAAAGGATGCGTGAGACAGTGGATCCTGTACTAAGAATTAATAGGAGGGTTGCAATATTCAAAGCGTACTTTTTATTTAAGAAAAAATTGATTGTTCACATACAGCTTCACTTGATGTCAAAGACTGCTATGTAAATAGTAGATACTCAGGAAGTACAGAATATTTCACATATTTTGTGATTAACACATTATAAATTTAAGAAATATTATAAAGTATATTACAATATGCTATGTATAACTGTACATACACATCTACAGTCATGCACCACATAATGATGTTTTGGTCAATGATGGACCGCATGTACGACAGTGCTCCCATAAGAGTAGTACCGTTTAGCCTAGGTGTGTAGTAGGCTATACCATCTAGGGCGTAAGTACATTCTATGATGTTTGCCTAATGACAAAATCACCTGATAACATTTCTCAGAATGTATCCTCGTTGTTAAGCGACGCGTGACTGTATGTATATATGTGTGTGTTTCATCTTATCTTCTGTTTCTTCAAACTGCCAATTTCCTCTCTAAAATTTTGATAATTTTGAAATTTCTTTACAATTAAAGAAGAAATAAACTCTAAGTAAATTTGAATTAAGAGTATTTCTAACAAGGCTTATGGATTATTTCAATATTTAGCCTGTTAAATAATTTTACCCACTGATTTTCTTAGGCCTCTCTTCCTGCCGTTTCCCAGTATTAACCCATTTTTCGTGAAATGTCCTAAAATATAACCTCTCCCAAAGCCTTTGTCTTACCTCTTTTCTGACTTTCAATGTATCACGGTTAGATAATTTTTTTAAATTATAATTTAATTATAACTCAATCTCTTCTAATTGCTTTTCCTCTGAACAACAACAACAAACGGAAAGAGAATGCAGACACTCCTTCTTTTGTTTTATATGTGAACACTACTCTGTGTCCCTAAGCATACACATCTGCTCAGATGTACACAGAGCTCCCGGGACCCACATGTCTCTGACCCGCCCCAGCTGCTTAGTGGTGGATGGCACAGCAGCCTTGCCCTGTCTCCTTTGCCAGCAGCCTCATTTAGGACCTCATTTTCTGCTGCCTGTCCTGTTCCAGTAGGACGTGGCTGTTATCCCTGTCTGCAGTCCCTCCTAAGTTGGGTGCCACCTTTTAAAGTCTCCTTACCCGCCAGATGAGTTTAATACCTCCAGACTTGGCATTTGGTTTGTCCTATTTTGACACAGGAATAAGTTTGTTTCTCTTCACTGCAAACTAAGAAGGTAGGACCTAGTTCTGTAAATTTGAGATTCAAGGACATCTTTGTATCCCACGTAAGAATATGGTTGACACAGGTAAAGAATATACAGTAACAGGAGTTGGGGTCCAGCAGGAGGTAGCAGGGCTCTCACAGAGATGGGCGGAGGAAATTGCTGGAGGTACAATCATTAAATAGGAAGTCTTGCCCCTTGAGATGCTGACAGCTCCGTATTATCAACTCCTTCCCATGCAGTGTGGGAGCGTCTTAACAGAGGCCTGCGTCGGGGGATCAGGAGCACAGAGAAGAAAGCTTCAGTGATGGGAGTAATGCCTCTGCCTCCCTAATGAGTGAATGACAGTTGGCTCCCTGGCCTGCAAGGAGATAAAGGCATTCGGGACAGAGGAGTCAGCATATGCAAACTCTCAGAGGCATGAAACTGTTTTCCCATTGCAAGAATAACAAGAAGTTTGGTGTAGCTAAAGTATAAAGTATCCTGGGATGAGTGGTAGTTAATAAGGTAGGAAAGGATTTTATGTCCTTTTGAAGGCTTTGGCTTTTATCTTAGAAGTTTCAGGGATCTGGTGAAAAATTTTAAGTAGAGAGGAACATAATTAGGTTTATGTTACATAATGATGATTTTGGTAGCAATGTGGAGGATGGCTTAAGGATAGTTACCCTGAAGGCAATGAACTGGTTAGACTAATGCAGTAGTTAAAATTATGCATGAAGGCAGCTTGAACTAAGGGATGTGTGCGAGCAGGCGGGTTCCCGATAACGTGCAGAGCAGACAGGGACTCTGAACTCTAAGGGAATCTGCCCAGAGGAAATCAAAGCGCCAAAGGTTGAGATCAAAGACAGGACTCTAGTCCTGTCCAGAGCAAGGCAGGACCCCACTTCATAAGTCGTAGGATATGAGATGGGACATCAAAATAGGGACTTCGGCTCAGGAGTATAATTGCCAGAGCTGAGTCCGAGATGATGTTTGGGTATCAGCAATCATCAGAAGCTTTATTATCTGAGCTGAGGCTCAAAATTAGCATCTGGGTAACTTAGCTTGATTCTCCCAAGTGTTGGAGGCAAGCTCCTTAAAATTTCTCTGTTTTGAGCTCTGTGTTTTATCTCCTCTGCTAGATCACAAGCTGTTTGAGGGGCAGGACTGTGTGTGGTGGAAAGAATTCTACTTTTTGAGTTAGAATACCCAAGCTCCTGTCCTGGCTCTGACTCTTAACAGCCATGTGACATTGGGAAGTCCCTTTCACTCAGTGAGGTCAGCATAGTGTTTGTGAGTGGAGATAGGAAGCACTCCTTTGCAGGGTTGTTATGAGACTAAATGAAGTCGTCCACGAGGCCCTGCCTGGGCTGTGGAAGCTGTCCAGTCAGTCTTCAGAACCATCTCAGTATGAAACACAAGGTCACAGTTCCTTGTGTACACTGTGAAAGCTGTCAAGTGAACCAGTGAGTGGAAGACTGAGTATTGGGTTAGTGGAAGCAACAGCATCCAAAAAAAAGCACACAAATTTTCGAATTGTGATAATGCATTTCTGAAAGCAAGCTGGTCCCAGAGAAGCGATGACAGGGAGTAAAATTCCCATTTCTTCTTCAGTACAGTGTTATCAACAACACAGTTCTTGCTAAGGTACCTATTACAATAATGACTTTTAAGAGGTGCACTTTAAATTCTAAGAAAATTCAGCATTTCAAAAGTGTAGAAAAACGTAGTTTCTAAGCTTAAGAGAATGCACAGTTTCATTTTTTTTCTTTAGCTTATTTTTTAGTTTGTTTTTTGTTTAGCTTATTCTGCTCAAGTCCAAGTGAATCCTCATGGTAACCTAACTGAGGAAAAAGGGGGCATGTGGTGAAGTGCGTTTCTTGTGGCGGTCCTGCCAGATATTAGGTTTCAGGAGTAAAGGTGTGTTTTAGTATGAATGACTTGTGATATTTATTTATTATTATCTGCCATCATGGTCTCATGTATTTGACTTGTTAATTTCATCTTTTAAAATGTAATGTCAGTGGTGCAGGGTAGCCTTTTTATCTTCATAAGAAAAGAGCAGAACTCTTTCTTCATTATGTGTACTGCCAGACATTCAGGATTTTGCATAACTTTATTTTAGTAAATATGAGGTCTATTACAAATAAGAAAAATAAAACTGTACAAGGCGTTATTGAAGCTGTTTATTGTGTTTGATTTTAATTCTCATTTTCAAGTCCAAATGTTTGTTTTTCCCATGTTCACTTCTTCTGTCTTCATAGCCCTGATCTATTTGAATACTAACCCCGAATGCTTGAAGGAACACCCCATGTCACTACACTTGTTAAATGGCTAGGAAATTTACCAAACAGAAGTATCCAAATATGGCTTGTTTCTCCTGTGGGACTAGAAATGCTATTTGCAACACATTTCTAGTTTTTTGTTGCTGATAGAAAAAAAGGATAACTATCACAATTTTGCTTGATAGAAGAATTATTTTGCTTTGTTGCTATTATGTCTCTTTTTTAAAAAAATATTAAGGGTTTTTTTAATGGCAGTATATTGCAATGGATACATTTCCAACAGTAAGTAATTCTGTTTTCTCTTTGTTGATCTGTTCTGATACTCCTTTTGGTTTTTCAGAGTGAGAAACATATGCTCTCTCTAAAGAAGGCAGGCTCTCATTAATTTCCCTGTTCTAGTTTATCATGATGTATGGTGAATTTGATCCCCTGCTCAAGAAGGCCGTATCTGTTTTACCCTCAGTGTTTGTGTTCGTGAGAACACATAGTACAGTACACAGTTTCTTCACGTTCGTGCATTTAGATGTATGCTTCAGTATCTTAGGAGTGAGGACCCCTCTGCTCCAGTGAGAGCTGTACTCCGTAAGAATGAATGTGATGTGGTTCTCTTAGTATTTTGGTCTCCGGAAGAGGTTTGTAATACTTTACATTTAAAATTATCTTTTCTTTTCTTACATAGTGACTTACTTCCCTATCTTTTCTACCTACATGAAATATCATTAACATTTTCTGCTCTAGGCCATGTATTCTGCGACGTTATTTAAGACATACATTAAAGTTTACTAATTCTAGATAGAAGGGTACAAATTGTATGTAAAAGGGTGGTTGAAATTCCAAGAAGGGACCACTGAGAACAGAACTGTAGTTAGCTAAGGAGATCTCTAAGATGAAAATAATTTAGAGCCACCCTGTTAGAGAAAAGATTAAAAAAATTGAAGGTTCAAGGAACAGAAAAAGTAACATTAAAGATGAGAGTGAGAAGTCCATTTTCAAGAGATCCTAAAGAGATTAATTAGTAAAGTGCTCAGAAGCAGAAAGAAATTATCTTGAGTGAATGAAGGGGAACCAGATGATAAAGGATCTTAAAGTGCCCGCTAGGACCTTGGTCTTTAATTTTGACTTTGGCATGGATTTCTCATTGAATTCCCCTTGTCTGTGTCTCAACTTGAGAGGAGCTGGAAGGGGTGGTTGGAATGAGTGGGAGCAGGCAGGTATGGCATACCAGGAGCACCGGGAAGCTCTTTAAAGCTATTGTGCCTATCCCTGCCTTGGAATTAGCTGACTCCACATGGCTCCTTCAGGTAATCCTCAGACTTTAGGCAGTGGAACCACCATTGTTACTCAGTAATTATTTAATATTACCAAGCAAACGTTTCCCCCCAGTAAAGTTTTTGGTAGATGTGGATCCACTATGGGCCACAGAAAGCTAGTACAACATACAGGTCTTTGCTTGGAGTCCCGTCTCATTGTCCTCCCCACCTTCCTCCAAAACAAGGGAAAGGAGAAGTAATGAAAGGAGAGAAGGGGAAGCAGGTGAAATCCAAAATCCTTTCCCTCATTTTCTAATGTAATTTTGTTCAGAGAAGTAACCATGCTACCATATGTACGCTTGTTTTTATGCCTCTTAGCAGATTGTTTGTGTTTAATAAATATAAAGTTGTCATGAAGATGGGGGGAGCTCCTTTCTTGGGCACTTGGTGCCCCAGTAAATATATAATGTGCTTCATCAGTGATTTGTGGTCAGAGGAATTCCAGATTAATTGTCCTTTTAAAGAAATTTTTCCAATTTTTATGTGTGCCTTTAAAGAAAACTTCCAAATGAGAATAGTTATTTTTGGTATTTTTTTTTAAGTATTTTTACTTGAAAACTATTATTTTCAGAAATAAGCAGAAATATTTTACTCTAGATTCTAGCTATAAATTGATTGCTTTTTAAGTGTACCTTACTAGACTCTGCAGTGATTTATATAGTAGGAAGCTTTCTTTTACCGTCCAGTTTCTCTTACCATCTCTCTCTCTCAAGTTCAAAGTCTAGTTGATACTTGTTCAATAGCGATTCATCTGAATATTCCTGAGTCTTCTCTTTAGTTTCCACTTATAAGTACACACTGATTATTTATTAGTACACAGCAAGCTCTTTGATATATTTTGGGCTTATTTCTTATCCTAGTGAGTTCTAGTTACTCTCAGCCCCATTCCCCAACTCCCATAGACTACCTCACTTACAAAAATATTTACTGAAAATTTGATTTAAATTTGTCCTTAGGATCTATGTTTTGGGTTCTTCTATTTTATAAGTAAATGCTTCTCATAGTAAAGTTGTGTACATATCATGATAACTATCGTTTTTTGCAAGGTTCTAACCCTATCCTCCATTTTCTCCTTATTTCTTTTCAGGTGTAGGGGAGGAGAGACTTTTCCTCCTTGCTCTTAGGTCTGTGCCTGGGGCCTGCAAGTTGAACTGACAAAAGACAGATTAACAGGAGAAAAGCATATAAGTTTTGTTTGATGTTAACATTTTAGTTTTCACATGCACACGGAGGTGTTCCTAGAAAAGAAGTGAAGACCTATAGAAAGACTAGACCCGGAGGCTTATATCCCATTTTAACAGAGTGATAAATTGTGGAGCTACGACAAGACAAAGGAAGAAGGGGATTGGGCTGGCGTTAAATTGTGGGAAAGTAACTAGGAAATATGTGGGGGAAACTGATGGAAGAGCAGGGTTATTTAGTAAGGTTGGTTTGTTTGTATAGATTCATCTTGGGATCAACTCCCCATTTCTGGTGATAAGCATGTTCTCCTCTTCCTGGTATAGGGAGGCTGCCTTTCTCTCAAGAAATGGATGCCCTACTTTTAGGTAGAAAGGAGAAGATTAAAGAGCTCTTCCTCTGTCTGCTGTTTCTTAGTTGCCTTTTGCTCAAAATAACCCATATGCCACAGTGGTGTGTTTTGGGGTGGCACAATCTGATCCCCTTCACAGCTTTAGTTTAACTCCCACATAAGTGAGTGAGAATAAGAACTGGTAACCAAGTGGCCTTAAGTATACACACTGACTGTGGAGCACAATAGATTGGCCTTCATATCTGGAGAAAAGATGTCTTTTTTCCTAATAGGCTACAAAGCAGGACAGATTACTGTTGATACTAATCTACGTTATTTTAGCACTCAGAGAGCCTTGTTTTACTTTGACAAACATATCATCAGATAGAAAGTTCCAAAAATGTCTTTTTCCTTAGTTTCCCATTTCATACCGCTTTAGTCAAATCAACTCTGACTCATTAACATCTGTTTTCCCTAGGTTTTGCTGGCACACCTGGATATCTTTCTCCAGAAGTTTTACGTAAAGATCCTTATGGAAAGCCAGTGGATATGTGGGCATGCGGTAAGGAATCACATTTTCGTACAGATTTTGTAGTACACTAGTATTGTAATAAATAAAACTGGTATCTTTTAAGTTTGAAGTTTATGCTCTCAAGTGATCAACTTGGGAGTGGTAGTTCTCACCCTTTAGCCAACAACAAGGTTACATGGAGGACTAGTTAAAGCACAGATTGCTGTTTCTGACTCAGTAGGTCTGGGGTGGGAGCTTCTGCATCTTTAACAAGTTCCCAGGTGATGCTCATGCTCCCGGTCTCGGGAAGCGCCCTGAGATTAGGGACATAGAGCATTGCCAGTGGTGATCATGTGTTTATGCTGCTATCCTCTCACCTCATCCGAGCAGCCCTTACAATAGACATTATGTTTGCACACGATGCTCAGCAGGGAATAAGAGGGAAAGAGTGGTTCGTGGAAAAGAATGAAATTGTCCTATGAGGACTGAACTCTGATTTAGGCCTTTAGCAACAAAATCCAGTCAAGTAAGTATCCTGTGCAGACTGAAAGATATATAATGGGGAGGATTTCCACCACAGTTTTTATAACAGAATTTCTATGTGTTAACATACACTTCAGATAAGTGAAACACTGAAATAAAAGGAATACTGCAGGATCCTCTGAATGTTTTCTACTAGGGTTATTGACACAAACTGGTCCTCTAGTATTTCTACCAGTCTATAAATAGTTTGGCTTTAGTGGGCCACAGATTTCATTGCCTTTGGTGTTTGTCAGTAAACCTGGAAGGAGTTGATAAAAAATTGTATTTGATTCTGAAAATAACTTTCGTATTTGGTTTTATTTAAAAAAATAAATAAATTCATTACCACTACTTTGTAGTGATGAATTATTTCACACTGTGTTTCTTGTCAGCTGTATCTCGTTAGCAACAGCAATTTGGTGTTTGATCTTAAACTGGATGCATCTTGGGCTTTAAGAGTTACTTCCGGCCTAGGCAGGCAGTCACGAGAGGCGCACTGTGTGTGGATTCACAGCACCGGGGTTCAAGTCTTCGGTTGGCACCTGCTAACCCTGTCTCTTTAATATTTCTGAGTTGGTTTCTTTACCTGTAAAATAGGAATATATTACCCTTATAAAATTTTATGAGAGTCAAATAAGGTACACTTTAAATGAAGTCATTTTTATAGTTTGTAAAGCAATTTAAATGCAAACAGCTGTTATTATAAAAGGTTGGAATTGTTGATTAAAGGGTAAGTCTTAGGTGCGCCACAAGCTCTGGCTTCCTCCTGCTACCAGAGACTCTTTTAAGCATAAACTCTCAAATACACTTGGGTTAGAGCATTGTCTCAAAATGTCCTTGTTCAGACCTAAATGTTCATGGCTGATAACTCAGATACTTCCCCTGCTGTAAATAGCTCCCGTCACAGATCTGTTTCTGCTGATAAATTTAAGAAGCAGCAAAGAGGGCCTGGGGAGGCAGGTAGACACAGATGGGTTTTATGGAGGATAGAGTCCAGGGGGCTGTCACTAGAGTGCTGCCCTTGGACCCTGAACAGTAGAAGGATAAGTGGTGTAGACTGGTGAGGACCCAGGAAAAGGAGGGCTCACTGTAAGGGCGCCACATGGTCTTGCTTTGCCGCCTTCATCAAATGTCATCTCCATCCTCCCCCTACTTCCCTTGTTCTTTATCCCTCCTTTGTTTTCCTCATTTCCTTCCTATTTTTTCCTCTTCTCTCTCCTCCCTCCCTTCTGCTCACTGGGCTCTTCAGTCCTCGTACTGTATGACCTGGCACAAATCACGTGGTCTTGGTGTCTCAGCTTCCTCTTAGAAAACAGAGATAGTGATAGTACTTGACTCCCAGGGCTGACAAGAAGACCTTTTAGTACAATAAGTGTTAGTATTATTACTATTATTATTGGAAAGTGTTTCTTTATAAATGAAGTTTTTAGATAACTAATATGTAGCCTTTTAAGAAATAGGCTTAACATATTAATAGATGACTCAGCATTGTTGTTACCAGCATCAGCTGATTATGATGCCTTCATCTGATTACCTGAATACCAAGTATTCTGTCTATGCTTTCTTTGTTCACTTTTAAATTCTTTGCTTACATGCCTTTCATTCTGCAAAAGATGTTACTGTGGACCAATTGCCCAATTCTGAATCGTATTTCATTCATTCAAATAATGTAAATAAATCATTTATTTAGTTGTTGCATTAAAAACATTTTTTTTACAATGTATCGATTTTAGTGGGGTTGAAGAATATCAAATCCTTTAAAAAGAAACCCAAAAAAATGATATTTGGTCTTAGGGATTCTTTTGTGGCTGTGGAGCAGAATCAGTGACGAAACTTCTACAGAGAGAAATATCCAGCCCTTACATGGGCCCTCTGCTTCGGTGGCTCTGAGCTGAGTACAGGCAGCTGCATTTTTAATATGATGATGTTGACATAGCATCAGAGTTTAGAATCACTGTCTTCGACTCATCAAACACACTGTGCTCAATTTTAATATTCCTTTGGTAAATTTGAGTGCATTTGGTTTTTGGGTTTTCTGTTTGAGTACGTTTCTGTAATATCGTTTGTATAGCTAACCTTTTTAAATAATGGCATGTCTTGTAAGAATCACATCTTACAACTGTGAGGTAACTTCTAGGATAGAAGCTCTAACTTTCTTGGCTGGAAGAGGAAAAAAGATAGGCAAAGAGTTGTTTCCCAAATTTTTGTCTGAGTTCCTAAAAACTGTAAGTAAAAATTAGACATGTGGCTAGATAGATACTACATGGATACACACAAATACGTGTGCACACACAGATCTCATGAATGCCTCTGGAAACTTAGAGCCATAGGACACCTCACAGTTTTCCACCTCGACTTCGCCATGGGTAGGGCCACCTTTTGTTTTGCTCAGTTCTATCCTTACCTCTGCTTTCTTCACACACTTTGCTACAAGCAGCCAAATCCCTGTGTGCCCGGCCAGGCCCCATTTAGGGCGCCTGTTTGCTGTCAGCTCCCATTGTCTTTAGAAACTGTGGCATCTTTTAATTTCATGCCTAGAATTGCACTTGGGATCCCACAGCTAACTGTGGAAATGGCTTAGATATTCTAATCTTACATATTTGGGGAAATGAGCCCCACTAGCCTCTGCCAGGAACATCGTAATACGTCCTTCTGCCTTTTGTTACATTTCTGGGTCACTGGTATCGGTTTGTATTGTTTTACTCTTGACTATAGTTGACCCTCACTCAGATGACACGAAAGTTACATTAAATTCACTTTTTTATAAGATGATGCCCCCCTTCTCCCTCTGTAATAACCACCAAAGTAATGTATACATGGTTCAATTGCCTTAGGTTATGGCACGTTTTCAGAGACGCTTTTTCAACCATCCATCAGCACTAGCTCTTGCCAGTTGAATAACAACTTCTTTTAAAGGCTAGACATTGTGCAGTGTGGTAAGAAATGACACTACCCAGATGACAAAAGACACACAGAACAAGCCACTTAGCAGAATGGCAGCTGATCTTCTCTGTAAATTAAGCTCTGAGCACTCACTATGGCAGATTCTTTGTCTTTTCGGCAATTGACACAGCAGAGTGAAGTGCAGCGTTAGTATAATGGCTAAAAGAAGTCTGTATATTGTTTTTATTAAAATATGCAATTATCCGTACACAGGAAATTTCAGATACTTAGCACACAGAATATCGTGTGACCTGTACCCTGTCTTTGAAAGCAACTAGTCCATTACTGGAAGGTAAATAATGGACATTAATGAAGCAAAAACATAGCCCTGTGTTCTGCCATTAACAACAGTAAATTGATTTTGATGGCTTTCCTGCAAATATAGCTGTTTCCATAATTCCCTAATGGGATGAGCAAATGTTCTTTATAGATGTCACTGAATCACTGATTTTTAACGGAAGTTTCTTCTACATCTTGGCTTAAAAAAATGATAAATGTAAGCCTATAAACATAGCCAACACACACACATGGACTCTCGCACACACACATGCATGCACACACACCTACACCTTGTCCTACTATTTCTCTACCTGAATAAGATGTCACTCAGAACAGTTATGAGTGATAATAAATCAGTGGCTGTCACAGAATGTGCTGTAACTTTTGACAACCCTTTGGAATATTATGAAATATATTTCTTCCTTTCTTGTATGGTCAATTTAGGTTCAATTGTGTGATTTCTGGGCCTTAGCTTTTTCATATTTCAGCTGGGATAAGTCAGCATCAAACACTTTTTTCGAAAGTATTTACCATTTTGAAATCTCAAGCCTCCTGGACAATTTGTTGCTTTGACCAGCTCTTTGATTTCCTTACAGTGGACCGTGACAAGTATGCTTCACAATGGGAAGGCTCTGCTTCATCCTTTAAGGCCCACGTCCTCATCAGTGTTCAACCCATGGAGCTTTACTCCCAATCATAGTATTTATCAATATCCTCTTCCTGTGGACTTATATGCTGTCTTACATCTCTCTAGATATAGTATTTATGGTTTTTCTAACTTGCTGGTTTTCAAACTATGGACCATGGACAGTTACCAGAGTGCTTACCAAAAATGCAACTTTCTGGGACCCACCTGAGAACCACTGAATAGGATTCTCTGTGGTGAGGCTCAGGAATTTGCATTTTCACAAGCTTGCAAGGTGATTCCAATGCGCACCAATGTTGGACAGCATTACCCTAACCTTTTGCAAATTCCTGTAGGGCAGCACATTTTAGGATTCTTCCACGACATAGCAGAGGTTACAGACAAACAGTTTACAGATGTCTTGGCCAGACAGTTGGACTTCTTATTTTTGGGGGCAGGGGGGAGTTAACCTTTATTATCAGGAGATTTCCTTAAAAACTGCCTGTTTCTGGCTTCTCTAAAATAATTGAAGGAACTAATAACAAAATGTTTTTGTTCTTACATAGCAGTGTACCTATCAGACAAATGGACACATGCTCTCCTCTGCTTACTACCCCACCTCATGCACGGTGTGTGCACAGGCATTCCTCTCTGCCTGGTTCCAGAAGGACATGTACATGTCAGTATGCCACCAATTACATGGAATAGACAGTTTCCATCATCTGAAAAATGACTTCCCAGCTTGCTGTCCTTGATCTTCTAGCTTTGTTCTGCCCATCGTTGGCCCTGTAGGTCACAGACTGTTAATTGAGCACTTTCTCTATTTGAATTGGATGATGACATTTTTGCCGAAGGTATTACAACAAAATAAAAGAGAGCCATACTTATAGCCCTCATATAGTTAATTGCACATTTCCAAATTCTACATGCATTTGCATGCAAGCTTGCAGTATGCCCTTTATATTCTAAGAGTATTAATGGATGTCTTGTTAGATTCTCCCATTAGCTTCACACTAACTTCTCAGAGTTTTTCAACTTTCTTCTTATCGTAAGAACAGAGTTTAGGGAGCGGCCCCGTGGCTGAGTGGTTAAAGTTCTGCGTGCTCTGCTTCGGCAACCCAGGGTTTGCAGGTTCAGATCCCTGGCATGGACCTGCTCTTCTCGTCGGCCATGCCATCAAGGTGTCCCACATACAAAATGGAGAAAGATGGGCACACATGTTAGCTCAGGGCTAGTCTTCCTCACCAAAAGAAAGAACAGAGTTTAGAATGTCTTAATCATTAATGTGATTATAAGTTTAATCATTGTTCTAATTCTAGCTTTTATTAAAATCAATTTGGAATGTTCCTGATAATGTAGTCTTTCTACCTAATCAGTAATTAGTGCTTCTGAAAGCTCTTATTAATCAAACATCTCTGGCATCTCCAAGCACAAATATACACATAAGATAGTGAAAACTAGTTTTAGCTTCCATTTTTAAATGTTATATGGAACCCACTATGTCAAAATAGCTTTCTAACTTTTTGTTATAGAAAATTTGAAACATACAAAAGTAGAATGAACTGATGGCTAATCTTATTTCATCTATACCACCCTGTTCATTCCTTTACCATTATTTCAGTCAAATCCAAACCTCGTATTAGTACATCTGTAAATCCTTTAATGTATGTCTCTTAAAGAAAAGGGCTCTTTTAAAAGCATGACAATAATACCAATATCTTAAAATTTAATATAATAATAATTTAAGATCATCGTATATCTAGTAATTTTATGTTTAGGAATCATATATCTAGTAATTTTGCTGTCTCATAGTTTTGTTATTTTGGTCTCTTAGGGCTCCTCAGTGTTCTAGTTTGTAGGTTCCACCTCTCTCTTTCTCTCTGTCTCTCTCTTTTCTCACATCTCTGTCCTCCTTTCTCAATTGGTTTGTTGAAGAAACCTGCAGTTCTTACACAGCACCCCTACACAGTACCCAGTCTTGCTCTCTACATACCATTTACCACTGTATGAAACCAGGTCCCCCTGTAGAAGTGGCTGATTCCAAGTCTGGATCAGGAAAGGAGCATCTTGTCAGACCAGAAGAAAAGGAGACTATTAAAGGCCACAGAGTTCATTTTAACAGGACTCAGGAGCCAACTGGAAGAGGCTGCTACTGGTTGAAGATGGGACAATTAGAGGATCAATAAGAAAAATAGCAGTAATGGATTGAAACATCAAATAAGTTGAAATCCATGCACTCATAGTGATTATCAAAATACAACAGAAATCCTAACCTTTGGAGGATGCTAGGGAACCAATGCATTATCTTGAAAACTGGTTAATAAAGGGGAAAAATCAGTTACCCTATCTTTCTTATATGAACCATACCTCATGGTAACCAAATAGTTGGTGAACTAAGCTGTTGTTTGCCTGAAGAAGGCGTACTGGAATATTGTTATTTTGCAAGTCCTCATGAGAGATCTGGGCCCTGATGGTCCAAGGCTGCTGACGTCATGAGAGACCCCATGTGTGGAGGCCACAGCACCACCCTGGAGTGTTCCTGCAAAGAAAATGAAGGCTTTCTGATGGGCTTTTAAAGATGGTAGAACCTTGTCAGAGGGAGAGTACTTTTTTTCCTCTAACTCTAAGAAAAAGGTGAAATATTAGAGTTATAAGAAAAAAGTAAGTTGGAACGTTACTAATGAGACAAGAACTCTCGATTAGACAACAAAAACTTTAAAATAACCGAGCTAAAGTACGTAACTAAGGGAAAAAGTGCCTGCAGGGAACACTTACGGCAGGACCAGTTGGAAACCTTGCTGTTAGGGCCAAGGTCTCTCAATTAGATGACACAAAAAGTTTAAAATGTAAATGACTGTTCTTGTTAAAGTTCATAGATAAAGAAAAAGTGGCACAGGGAATGTTTAAGATATGGCTTTGTCAGCTGGCTCATGGCTCAAACAGTTAAGTAACTTATCCTCTTTGCCTCTGTTTCCTCATCTGTAAAATGCGGACAGTAACATCTGCCTCCTAGCATTGTGTAGGGATTAAATGAGGTAATGCCCTAAAGCACATGTAACTGCTCAATAAATGCTCCCTACAGTAAAACTTACTACCGTTAGCCTTATGATTGTGCCACGACTCTCACAGTTGTTCCACGGTTTCAGTAAGTACAGCTACAAAAGAGCATATAACTCAGGAAGGCCTCAGACTCTAGTCTAATGAGCGAGTCAAAGTAAGCTTAGAAAACACTGTCTATTCAAGCAGGCCTTGACAATTTAACATCGGTCTACTCAGAAGTGCCTAGTGGTTTTTTCTTTAAATCGTCTGGCCTGAAAATGTTTTAAAATTTTCTCTATCTATACCGTTATTTTATTATAAGTACATTTTTTGGTAGAAACCCCTCAGTCAATTAAATATGGGCATTGATTGACGTGTGTAGTGGCTGCCAATCCTTGGGGAATAAACCATCCCTTCCCCTTCCCAGAGAAGTGCCACATTGTGTCAACCAGCAGGACTGCAGACAGAAGGCACCAGAGCAGAGCCTCAGAGGCCCTCCGTGCTTGCAACTCAGCTTAGGTGCACAATGCTAAATGTCTCAGTTGTGAGTTTGATTCATAAGTTGGTAACAGCCTACCTCCAGTGTTTGTTAGACAAACGTCCGGAGTCAATATAGACTGTTGCCGTTACAGAGCTAATTTTCTCCACCCCCTAAACCATAGCTGAGGACTAAAACGACTTGGTACACCCTCTTTTCTACTTGTGTCCTGGGAACACAAACACGGACTCTCACCACCACCATCATCAGATGCATCTGTTGGGCCAGATAGTAAAAATGATATGAAAATAAATTTAAATGAATGCACATTAAGTCTATAACATAGTGAAGATGGAAGAATGTTTTTATCTTGTTAAGGTGAGGTACCAATATATTGCAATTTTCTTCATGGTCCTTTTTTTAAAAAAAGAAAAACAAACTCGACTGTGGTGAAATAACCTTCAGTCTGAAACAAAATCCTTGTTGGGTTCTTATTTAAGAATGTTGTCTTATTTCTTTGAATTTTATGTGCAATGTCAGCCTCCTCCTCCCCTCCCTTCTCTTGTAATGTATACTCTTCTGTAGTATCATTGGTTTAGTTGTTTTATTGAGAAATTCTATTTTTGAAGACTAAGATCATTGAATAGAAAAGGATTCTCATCTCCTTATATCTTATCCACGCTCCCAGGGACGCTGGCTCTTTAGAGCATGAATTTTTTACCAAGACACCATCACTCAACAAAATGTCCTAATTACCGGCAAAATGTCTAAGAGGAAGTAAATGTTAAGTTTTTAAACGTCAACTTACAAAGTGACTAAAATCTCATTGCATCTATCTAGATAAGAGTGAAGGGATGTCATAAATAGGCAAGAGTTCAGGGAGGCTGAAGAATGTGTTGCCCGAAATGACAGGTGAGTTTCTCTGTTAGGAATTGCCCTTCTGTGCCCCTTTAGGATTCTTTGGGCCCTCTGTTGGATGCCACTTGTTATCAGAGTTCTTGAGCATAGAAGGAGGAACCCTCCCCCTCCACAGAACGCTGCAGAGATCAGAACATGTCTCTGAAGTTTTCCAACAACCCAATGCCCTCTCTTTGAATGAATGTGGCTTAGTATCATTGTGGATCGGCCACACTGACCGTATTGTTGTCTGTGTGACTCAACATTGTGTTAATATGCTCATTCCCTCCAGGTGTCATTCTCTATATTCTACTGGTGGGATATCCCCCCTTCTGGGATGAAGACCAACACAGACTCTATCAGCAGATCAAGGCTGGAGCTTATGATGTAAGTAATACATGTTCATATCATTTTATCTTTTATTTTTTTCTTTGAGGAAGATTAACCGTGAGCTAACTGCTGCCAATCCTCCTCTTTTTGCCGAGGAAGACTGACCCTGAGCTAACAACCATGCCCATCTTCCTCTACTTTACATATGGGACGCTTTCAACAGCATGATTTTTGCCAAGCGGTGCCGTGTCCGCACCCAGGATCCGAACTGAAGAACCCTGGGCTGCGGAGAAGTGGAACGTGCGAACTTAACCGCTGCACCACTGGGCCGGCCCCATCATATCATTTTAGATGAGGGTTTGTTTTTTGTTTATTGACCAAGAACCAGATTTTTTTCTTTGCGATTTTAACCATAGTTTTCAACAATCTCCCTTGTTATTTTCTTTTCTCTGAGGGAAATGGCGATAAAGAGTGAGAAATGCAGCATATATGTGCAGTTTACATTTCCCTTTAGCTCACTCTCTCCTAAGATCGAAAGGAAAACAGTTTGAATTCTCTGAGGAAGGACCTTGCTTCTCAAAATGCCTGGATCGTAGCGCATTTTAAAACATAAAAGTTGAAAGATTTTTTTCTTTAGAAATGATTACTACCTGTTTAGTTGAATTATATACACAAATGCCTATCATGTTATTTTATTTTATATTTTTAATATTTAACTTTATTTTTTATTTATTTTATTGAGGCAACATTGGTTTATAACATTATATAAGTTTCAGGTGTACATCCTTATGTTTCGGTTTCTTTGTAGACTACATCGTGTTCACCACCTAAAGTCTAATTGCCATGTCACCACACACATGTGCCCTGTCAGCCCTCTCTCCCTCCCCGCTCCTCCCTTCCCCTCTGGTAACCAGCAATCTATTCTCTGTGTCTATGTGTTCGTTAGTTGTACTGGTTTTTTTATCTTCCACACATGAGTGAAATCATAAGCTCATTTGGCTTTCTCCATCTGACTTATTTCACTTAGCATAATGCCCTCAATGTCCATCCACATTGTCACAAATGGCAAGATTTCCCCTTTTTGTGGCTGAGTGGTATTCCATTGTATAAATATATACCACGTCTTCTTTATCCATTCATCTGTTGATGGGCACTTAGGTTGTTTCCAGGTCTTAGCTATTGTGAATAATGCTGCAATGAACATAGGGGTGCCTATATCTTTTCAAATTAGTGTTTTTGTGTTCTTTGGATAAATACCCAGAAGCAAGATAGCTGAATCATATGGTAGTTCTGTTCTTAACTTTCTGAGGAACCTCCATACTGTTTTCCATAGTGGCTGCACCAATTTACATTCCTACCAGCAGGGTACCAGGGTTCCCTTTTGTCCACATCCTCTCCAACACTGGTCATTTCCTGTCTTGTTAATTATAGCCATTCTGACAGGCATGAGGTGATACCTCACTGTAGTTTTTATTTGCATTTCCCTAATAATTAGTGATGTAGAGCATCTTTTCATGTGCCTGTTGACCGTCTGTGTATCTTCTTTGGAAAAATGTCTGTACAGATCCTCTGCCGTTTTTTAATTGGGTTGCTTGTTTTTTTGGTTGTTGAGTTGTATTAGTTCTTTATATGTTTTCGATATTAACCCCTTGTCAGATATATGGTTTGCAAATATCTCCTCTCAGTTGTTAGGTTCCCTTTTCATTTTGTTAATGGTTTCCTTTGCTGTGCAGAAGGTTTTTAGTTTGATACAGTCCCATTTATTTTTTTCTTTTGTTTTCCTTGCCTGAACAGACATGTCATTCAAAAAGATACTGCTAAGGCCAATGTTAAAGAATGTACAGCCTATGTTTTATTCTAGGACTTTTATGGTTTCAGGCCTTACATTCAACTCTTTAATCCATTTCGAGTTAATTTTTGTGTATAGTATACCAAGATAATGGTCTCTTTTCATTTTTTTGCGTGTGGCTGTCCAGTTTTCCCAGCACTGTTTATTGAAGAGACTTTCCTTCCTCCATTGTATGTTCTTGGTTCCCTTGTCAAAAATTAGCTGTCCATAGATGTGTAGCTTTCTTTCTGGGCTTACAGTGCTGTTCCATTGATGAGTGTGTCTGTTTCTGTGCCAGTTCCATGCTGTTTTGATTTCTATAGCTTCAAAGTATATTTTGAAGTCAGAGAGTGTGCTACTTGCAGCTTTGTTCTTTTTTCTCAGGATTCCATTGGCTATTCGGGGACCTTTGTTGTTCCATATAAATTTTAGGGTTCTTTGTTCTGTTTCCATGAAGAATGTCATTGGGATTCTGATTGGGATTACATTGAATCTGTAGATTGCTTTAGGTAATATGGATGTTTTAAATATACTTATTCTTCCAATCCATGAGCATGGGATATCTTTCCATTTCTTTATATCTTCTTCAATTTCTTTCAATAATGTCTTATAATTTTCAGTGTATAAGTCTTTTACTTCCTTCGTTCAGTTTATTCCTAGATATTTTATTCTTTTTGTATTGTAAATGGGATTGTATTCTTGATTCCTCTTTCTGCTATTTTGTCGTTAGTGTTTAGAAATAGAACCAATTTTTGTATGTTGATTTTGTACCCCGCAACTTTACTGTATTCATTTACTATGTCTAAAAATTTTTTTGGTGGATTCTTCAGGGTTTTCTATATATAAAATCATGTCATCTACAAATAGTGACTGTTTCACTTCTTCCTTTCCAATTTGGATACGTTTTCTTTCTTTTTCTTCCTGATTGCTCTGTCTAGGCCTTCCAACACTGTGTTTAATTACAGTGGTGAAAGTGGGAATCCTTGTGTGGTTCCTGTTCTTATAGAGTTTGCTTTTAGTTTTTCTCCATTGAGAATGATATTAGCTGTGGATTTGTCATATATGGCCTTTATTATGTTGAGGTACTTTCCTTCTATACCAATTTTATTTAGCATTTTTATCATAAATCGATGCTGTATCTTGTCAAATGCTTTCTCTGCATCTGTTGAGATGATCATGTGATTTTTTATTCTTCATTTTGTTAATGTGTATGACCTTTGATCGATTTTTGGATATTGAACCATCCCTGTATTCATGGAATAAGTCCCACTCGGTCATGGTGTATGATCTTTTTAATGTATTGTTGTGTTAGATTTGCTAGTATTTTGTTGAGGATTTTTGCATTGATGTTCATCAGTGATGTTGGCCTGTAATTTTATTTTTTTGTGTTGTCCTTGTCTGGTTTTGGTATCAGGGTAATGGTGGCCTCATAGAATGAGTTAGGAAGCTTCCTCTCCTCTTCAATTTTTGTTAAGAGTTTGAGAAGGATAGGTATTACGTCTTCTTTAAACGTTTTGTAGAATTCATCACGGAAGCCATCTGGCCCTGGATTTTATTTTTTCAGAAATTTTTGATTACTGTTTTGATCTTCTTACTAGTGATTGGTCTATTCAAATTCTCTCTTTCTTCTTGATTCAATTCTGTAAAGTTGTATGATTCTGAGAATTTATCCATTTCTTCTAGATTATCCAATTTGTTGGTGTATAACTTTTCGTAGTATTCTCTTATAATCTTTGTATTTCTGAGGTGTCCGTTGTAATTTCTTTCATTTCTGATTTTATTTATTTGAGCCTTCTCTGTTTTTTTTGATGAGTCTAGCTAAAGTTTTGTCAGTTTTGTTTATCTTTAAAAGAACCAGCTCTTTGTTTCTTTGATATTTTCTATTGTTTCTTTAGTCTCTATCTCACTTACTTCTGCTCTGATTTTTATTGTTTCCTTCCTTCTACTGATTTTGGACCTTGTTTGTTCTTCTTTTTCCAGTTCCTTTAGGTGCACTATTAGATTGTTTATTTGAGATTTTTCCTGTTTGTTGAAGTAGGCCTGTATTGCTATAAACGTCCCTCTTAGAACCACTTTGGCTTTATCCCATAAATTTTGGCATGTCATATTTTCATTTGTCTCCAGGTATTTTTTTTTATTTCTCCTTTGATTTCTTCACTGACCCTATCATTGTTTAGTAGAATTTTGTTTAATCTCCACATATTTGTGGCTTTTCTAATTTTCTTCCTGTAGCTGATTTATAGTTTCATACATTTGTGGTCATAAAAGATGCTTGGTATTATTTCAATCTTAAATTTATTGAGACTTGTTTTGTGGCCTAATATGTGATCAGTCCTGGAGAATGTTCCATGTGCATTGGAAAATAATGTGTATTCTGCAGTTTTTGGATGGAATGTTCTGTATATCTCTACTAAGTCCATCTGGTTTAATATGTCATTTAAGACCAATGTTTCCTTATTGATCTTCTGTTTGGATGATCTATCCATTGGCATAAGTAGTGTGTTAAAGTCCCCTACTATTATTGTGGTGCTGTCCATTTCTCCTTTTATGTCTGTTAATAATTGCTTTATATATTTAAGTGCTCCTATGTTGGATGCATAGATATTTACAAGTGTTATATCCTCTTTAAAACAGTTTTTGTTTTAAAGTCTATTTTCTCTGATATAAGTATTGCTACCCCAGCTTTCTTTTCATTGCCATTTGCATAGAATATCTTTTTCTATCCCTTCACTTTGAGTTTGTGTGTGTCTTTAGGTCTGAAGTGTGTCTATTGTATGCACCATATATATGGGTTTGGTTTTTTATCCATTCGTTCACTCTTTGTCTTTTGATTGGAGCATTTAGTCTATTTACATTTAAAGTAAGTATTGATAAGTATGTACTTATTGCCGTTTTGTTACTTTTTTTCTGGGTGTTTTTGTAGTTCTTCTCTATTCCTTTCTTCTCTTGCTCTCTTCCCTTGTGGTTTGATGGCTATCTTTAGTGTTATTTTTGGGTTCCTTTCTCTTTATTTTTTTTTGTATTTATAATAGGTTTTTGGTTTATGGTTATCGAGGTTCATATGTAAATAGTAATCTATGTTAAGTTGATGGTCTGTCAAGTTGGACCTCTTACTAAAAGCTGTACACTTTTACTCCCCTACCCCACGTTTTATGTTTTTGGTGTTGTATTTTACCTGTTTTATTTTTGTATAGCCCTTAACCTCTTATTGTAGATATAGTGGTTTTAGTACTTTAGTCTTTTGACCTTCATACTAGCTTTGTAGGTGGTTGTTCCAGTTGATCCCCTACCATACCTGTATATTAGCCTTTACCAGCGATATTTTTTCTTGGATAATTTTCTTATTCTTACTTGTAGTCCTTTCTTTTCCACTTAAAAAGCCCCTTTAACATTGCTTATAATACCAGTTTAGTGGTGATGAACCCCTTTAGTTTTTGCTATTTGGAAAGCTCTTTATCTCTTTCCATTCTGAATGATAACCTTGCTGGGTATTCTTGGTTGCAGATTTTTTCCTTTCAGCACTTTGAATATATCGTGCCTCCCTTCTAGCCTGTGAAGTTTTTGCTGAAAAGTCAGCTGATAGCCTTATGGAATTTCCTTTGTATGTAATTTGTTGCTTTTCTCTTGCAGCTTTTAGGATTCTCTCTTTAACTTTAATTCTTTACATTTTAATTATAATGTGTCTTGGTGTGGGCCTCTTTGGGTTCCTCTTGTTTGGTACTCTCTGTGCTTCCTGTACCTGGATGTCTGTTTCCTTCTCCTGGTTAGGGAAGTTTTCAGCTATTATTCAAATAATTTTTCAGCCCCTTTGTCTTCCTCTTCACCTTCTGGGACACCTATAAGGTGGATGTTACTATGCTTGATGTTGTCCCAGAAGTCCCTTATACTGTTCTCATTCTTTTTCATTATTTTTTCTTTTTTCTGTTTGGCTTTGGTGATTTCCTCTGCTCTTTTGTCCAACTCACTGATTCATTCTTTTGTATCATCTGCTCTGCTGTTGATTTCCTCATTTCCATTATTGTATTCTTCAGGTCTGATTGGTTCTTTTTTACTTTTTCTAATTCTTTGTTGAAGTCCTCATCATGTTCATCGATTCTTCTCCCCATATCGGTGAGCCCTCTTATGACTCTTAATTTGTACTCTTCATCGGGTAGGTTGTTTATCTCTGTTTTGTTTAGTTCTTTTTCTGAGGATTTGTCCTGTTCCCTTATTTGGAACATATTTCTCTCATTTTGCCTACTTCTCTGTGTTTTTATATATGTGTTAGATAGGTCAGCTGTTTCTCCTGGACTTGGAAATGCAGCCTTATGTGAGAGATGCTTTATGGGGCCCAGCAGCTTGCTCCCCTCTTGTCAACCCATGCCAAATGCTCCAGGGGTGTCCCCTGTGTGGACTGCATGTGCCCTTCTGTTGTGGCAGGGTTGCTATTGCTATGGGTCACAGGTAGGCTGGCCCTTGAGCTGGCTGATTGTGAGGCTCTGATGTGTGTGGCTGCTACAGGCACTTTATTGGGTGGGGCAAGCCCCTGGCACAGCTTGCTGCAAGTTCGATAGCACATAACTACTGCAGTTTTGCTGGTAAGAGAGTCAGGCCCCAGTGTGGCTGGTTGCTAGGCCCTGGGACACACAGGTGCTGGAGGCTCCTCCCCCCCCACCATGTGGCTCCCTGCAGTTCTCAGCTGTCCCTGTTTTGGTGATTGGGGGATTGGGCAGGCTTCAGGTGAGCCTCCTGCAGCTATTGTCAGCTGGCTTTTGGTCCAGGCAGACCTCTGGCAAGAACTGGCTAATGGGCAGGGCAGCTCAGGTGCAGCAGCACACAGCCATTTCAGGTGTTGGACAGCAGGGCAGATCCTTTGTGTGGCTGTTTGTGATGGCCAGCAGCACGATCTGTTACAGGCCCACAAGGCTACAGGTCCAGACAGCTGTCCCAAGCTTGCTGGTGGGCAGTGTCAGACCCTGGGGTGGGCTGCCTGCTGCCTGGCTATACTCCATTTCCTTGGGTGCTCTAGTGGGCAGGGCAGACCCCTACGCCTACAGGCTAGAGGGAGGATCCCAATGTGGCCTGCCAGCCTCTGTGTCAGCACAATAGAACTAGGTCACAATAATGGCTACCTCCAGTGTCTCAGTCCCTGGGGGGTGGGCCCAGCCACCTCCTGCCTCTCCAGGATTTGTTCCAAGCCTAGTGAGTGAGTCTCTGTTACCAATGGACTATGCACTTTTCTATCTGGTGTCTTTGTGCTGGTTTCCAGGTCAGCCTACACGGGCCTTTGAAGAGCAGTTTTTTTCTTTCCTTCAAGTTCTGTAGTTTTCCTGGGTATGTTCCCTGTTGGTTTTCAAGACCAGCAAAGCTAGGTATTATGGGATCTTGTCTCTCCTGTGCTGAGTCTAAGGGCTGGGATGCCTACTGTGGAGCTCAGAAGCTCCACTCCTCCAGGAAGAGCTCTGCACCTTTGAGCGCTCCCCTGGCTGTGAGGTGCAGTGGCTAGGGGGTGGGATTTTGCCCAGCGGGGCTGTGTCTCTGCCTCTTCTACCCCGGTGTGTGCTGTCCCGTGTGGTGGCAGTCCTTTTATACTGTTTCCAGATCTCTCCCAGAGGAAATTGTTCCAGAGGTAGTTGTAGTTTTGTTGTGTCCATAGGAGGAGGCGAGTTCAGGATCCTCCTACACCACCTTCTTCCAAACTTCTTCCATAATTTTAAATTGTATACAACAATACTTTGCAGTGATCCATATATCAAATAGAACATTATTCCATTATGTCAGTTTTGACATTTTTTGTCTTGTTTACCTAGTGAGCTTCTGTGCAACCTTTCATTTGGAGAATGAGTTTCACAACTGAAAGATATTTGAAAATCACAATTCTAATACATTTCATTTATAATTAGAATATTTAAAAGTAGGCACATATATATATACACACACACACACACACACACACACAACATGAATTAAGTTCTAAATCTGAAGAGTGAGTCCTTATCTATCTTCTCTCCATGGCTTAATTTTGTGCTCATTGATATCTTTATCAAAGGACAGAAAATTATGTCTGTAAATATGATTTACCACCTCCTCTGGTTTGTACCTCACACAAGCCCTATGGAAGTCAGAGTGCACGGTCTGGAGATGCTGTCCATATATTACTAAGTGGGGTAATTGAGTAGTGGGCAATATTGGGTCCGCCCTCTGTGCATGAGTTAAAAGCTCAATGTAAAGTGAGAGGAGTTAATATAAAAAGTCTGTATTATATTCTGTCAGGCCTCATTCCTCAGTGCATCTCTTAAAACATTCTGTTTAGATGGCTGTGTGTATCATGAGAATATAAAATGTATATTCTTTTAATTTCGAAGCATTTCATTCTAGCCAGACTAATAATTGGACCAAATTATCATTTACACAGCCACAGCTGGCACATTTCACCATCTTTAGAGAGTAGAGCGAGGCACCCCTCTGGGCATACAGCCCTGTGGATGCACTTGTTGGTGAATGTGGAGGAGTGCCTTTGTGGAAATTAGAAAAATAAGAAACAGTTCCACCTTCATGCAGGCTGAAGTAGCTGCCATCAGAGGACCTGCCCATCGTTAAGCAGCAGCCTTGAGTGTTTCTTCAGTAGTTCCTAGTCATCAGCAAGTTTTTACAACTGCCCAAAATAAGCTCTGGAATTAAAATGACAGCTGTTAAACTGGCAAAATTTACAAGTATTAAAGAGTCAATATCATTTTTCTCATGTTTCATTTAGCCAATGGCTCACAAACTGCCCTTTTTTTTTTTTTAAAGATTGGCACCTGAGCTAACATCTGTTGCCAATCTTTTTTTTTTTCCTTCTTCTTTTTCCCCAAACCCCCCAGTACATAGTTGTATACTCTAGTTGTGAGTGCCTCTGGTTGTGCTATGTGGGATGCCGCCTCAGCGTGCCCTGATGAGCAGTGCCATGTCCACGCCCAGGATCCGAACCAGCAAAACCCTGGGCCCCCAAAGCAGAACGCACGAACTTAACCACTCGGCCATGGGGCCGGCCCCACAAACTGCCCATTTTTAACTACTAAAAGTAAACTAACTTCAGTTCATGACACAGTGACCATGGCTTTTTTTCCAGGACTATCTACAAAAATTCACAAATTGGAAAAAGAACCCAATATTCCGTCTGTTGTTTAGAAATGTGATGTAAATTTTTCTTAACTCATCAAGAATATTATTTCTACTAAATACGCTAATTATGTGAAAATGAGATTGCAGAATTAGCAACAAAAAACTCACATAAAGAAAGAGGATAAATAGGTTTGTTATATAGTTATTAGTGTACAAATGGATTACTAATAGAAGTTATGAAATTTGGTTACTTTCATGAACTTTGCCTTGGTGAAATTTGTAATTAAGAAGATCGGCTTTTTTGAAGTGTTCAAATCAAATCCTGCTGAGCCTCTTCTAGTGTCAGAGGACTCCAAATAGCCATGATTAATAGGTTAGTTTTGGCACAGGAACTGAAGCTGTTTTATCATCTTTGCTGTTACTGTTCATGAGTTGTGAAAGTATGTAATACCTCGTTTTGAACCTTGACATAATAGCATAATGACATCAACACATGTGACAACTTCTAAGCTTTTATTGATTTTTGCAAATAAATATGAGAAAGATTGCATAAAATTTCATTTTCAGATCAAAGCAAAGATAGTTTGAGAGGACTAGAAGATTCTTAAGTTTATTTTTCTAAATTTTAAAATGTATTTACTAGATATGATATTATTTACTAGATATGATATGCAATTTAGTAGATATATTTGTCCCTTATCAGTTACTCTTCTTTAATATATGTAGACATATACATACAGGGATATATATCTCTATGTCAGTTTATATGTAGATATAATACAAGAAAATTTATGAAGAAATTCACTACTTAAAGAAATGATTAGTATATTTGGCTCTTCCCTGTTTGACTGAGTGTATCTATTTTTTAAACTCTATAAATTTATATTTTTGAAGTTTCCCTCACCAGAGTGGGACACAGTGACTCCTGAAGCCAAAGACCTCATCAATAAAATGCTTACTATCAACCCTGCCAAGCGTATCACAGCCTCAGAGGCACTGAAACACCCATGGATCTGTGTAAGTGACAGTTCTCCAAAGACCTCAGGAGCTAAAATGAAAAATAAACTCTGCTTTCAAATTTTTTTCATGGATTTAAAATAATTTTTGCAGAAAGGGATGAAACTCAGAATGAATTAATTTCTGACTCTAGATATCTAACATAAATTTTATAATGGCGAAACATGCTATTTCAGGTAGCGAAGTCTGATTTGCATAGATTTCTAAGTAAATATTGCCTACAATAACATGAGGAAGGAGTATTACCCCTACCAATTGTTGGTAATACCCATGAACAGAGGTTAAGAAAATCATACCAAGAGTAAATATATCCCAGAAGAAGAGATTAGACAAAGTTCAATTATTTATCATTAGGCAAGTATAAAAAAAGGGGAGGTTTGGAAATTGGGAGTAGGGTTTTCCTAGCATGACAGAATGGCCATAGGAATGTGCTTTAGAAGTACTGAGAAATATAGTATGAACCTTGGGGGGAATGTACAGATTTCAGTAAATTTCTAGGGATGAGCATCAAATGGTAGGGTAGTAAATATGATGCTAAGTAAACAAAAGGCAGTCCAATAGAAATATGATTTAAAACATTGAAATAAAGATAATTTGAGGAATTACTGATACTTGTTTCTATATGTTCTATAGATAAAGTTGTATCTCAGTCACAAATAGTCTTGGCAAAATCTGTCTTTCATTATTGGGGAACTTTTGCAGTTGAATACTTACAAGTTCATCGTGTGGGTGCAGGCGCCATTAATACAGATTTGATGAGCCTGAAGATACTATTATGCTTAGAGTGTTTTAAATATCCTCGGTTAAGTTTCTTTTTCTCCTCCTCCAGCAACGCTCTACTGTCGCTTCCATGATGCACAGACAGGAGACTGTAGACTGCTTGAAGAAGTTCAATGCCAGGAGAAAACTAAAGGTCAGACCCTCTGCGTACTTGTGGGGAAGAGGATTCGGCAGAGTGGGAAGTGAGATTCGCTCTGAGGAAATAACGTTCAGCAAAGGCTTTTAAAGGTGTAGACCTGGATACTCTTCTTCTTCTTCTGGGTCTTGAGAAAATGGAATATACACCAGAATTAAACCCACGCTGAAGGGCTAGGATCAGTGTGGCCATGTGTGCCGTGGTCCTCCCTTCAGTGGAAAACAGCTGTGCCATTTGATCATCAGAATCTGGCCGCACATGGGGGGACGGTCCTGGCATTGTGAGACACAGGCCTGCTCCTCTCAGAACACCAAAACACAGAAACAACCAAAAACCCCCTGACTGGAAGGAGGGCTAGGAGGTTTGTCATCAAAGACTATGGATTTGTTAGGTCGAAGATTTGCAGAGGTGACGTTAATTTTGTATTCTTATTTCTCTGACAGGGTGCCATCTTGACAACTATGCTGGCCACGAGGAATTTTTCAGGTACATGTGTTAAGAACTCTGCTCCTATCCTCTGCTCTCCTCTTAAGTAGTCTTTTTGGAGTTAAAAAAAAAAAAATCCTAATAATTAGAAAAACACTGTTGTTCAGGAATGCAAATGTGTGGCATGAATTCCTTCCACACCCATGGCTGCCATTAGGAATCTGCCCGGTGCCCTGTCCACAGAGACCTTAGGCATGTGACTTCACTCCCAGCAGAGCACTGTCTAGGCAGCCCTGCCACTGGTCAGTGCTGGGCTAGGACTTGAAACCATGTGTCATCCTTGCTGGGGTGCACACAGGCTGTGGAAATATGTACTCCCTCATCTGGGAGCTAGCATTTTGAACCTAGAATTAATTATTTCATACAGTAATAACTGAATACTTTTTTTTTTTTGTCTCATTCCCATAGGGAATCCCAATAAGCAAGATTTTTAAAAGACTACCCTTATTGAGGAACCCAGTTCTGTTAGGCCTAAGTTCTTTCAAAAGGACAGTAGTATCTTGGCACGCTATGAGAATGGTTACAACTTTCAAAGGTATCTAAACTCAGGAATTTACAGAGGATCTACCCACAGTAATATCATAGGATAATAAACATTCCTCGAAATGATTCCATGGTAAAAATAAGTTTGTTAGTTAACAGGCTAAAAGAAAGTAAAGCATTTCTTTATTGTAGGAGTGACTCTCCAAAATCAACATAAAGTATACATTATTTACATAAATTATTTGAGTTTTGGAGCCCCTTCTTTGATAGATTATCTCAAAGGACCAGGTTTCCAAAAATAAAATGTTGGTAAATGCTAATCAGTCTTATGTACGGGGAGCGACTGAAGCAGTGAGAAAGCTGCGCTTACTAAACTTAGTGTTTGGCTGATTAGACTTGGAACAATTGTCCAAAGATTGTGCCAGAAATACTACTATTTTACCTTGCTTACCACTTCCTGAGAGTGATGAGCAGCATCTAATTATCCAGCAATTTCTTCAGGTCTTTATTCCTGCTGCATACTTACCCAGGGTATCGTAGTGATTGGAGGTGATGAGCCGTTTCATCATCAGATGTTCTTCAAACTTGTCAGCCAATTTCTAGATATTGTTTACGATTGTATTAAATGGTCACCTCTTGTCCCCCGTTGTGTTTAGTTATAGATAATGTGAAGCCATAGGCAGCTTTCCAAAGGCTTCCGCTGAGCTGTTCAACAACAATAATAATACAATGAGTAATGCTGCAAATTGAGGGATTGTGTTAGTCAATTCTATGTATTTTGTCCAGTTTGTTTAGTGTAATAAAACTGTTACTGCCTTTGTCAAGTTACCTGTTTTATGAACATTTGATTAATATAGTTGACATTTATATGGGTGAGTTCAATGTCATCTTATTAAATATATATACTATATTCAAATAAATATTTCACTGTGGCCCAATAATTAGTAAATCACTAAAAGTTAGGATGATTTATATATAAAATTTATGTCTGTATTGTTATTAACAAATTAACTTGAAAAGAAAATCTCCAGAATTAAGATTATGTGTTTTGTTAAAGTGTTAAAGACACTCTTAAGCATAATTGGGCCTTTGTTAATAAATGCACCCATATATAGAAGCTTTTTGTTTACCTCATTTTCCTTTTCATCATCGTGTAAACTAAAAACTCATGACTAATATGTGGATTTTATATTGTTTCTGAATGTCTTAGCATGAAAAGCAAACTTTTTTTTTAATCCATCATTTCAAAACCAACTGAATAACATTTGACCCAGTTACATCTTATACTTGATATTGCATTTTAGTTTTGAGTATTTTATTCATTCTGTTTCATTGCCAAACATGTTCTTTAAAGTAATTTGTCCATAAGTATATGGTTATAAAGTTGTTTTTATTTTTTCTTTTCTCCCTGTATGTGGAATGTATTTCTTGTGAGGTAAGGTAAATAGTAACCAAAAGGGACGTTTCTGCATCTCCCAGGCAAATCCCTGCTTACCCCGAATCATCGTCTTCTCTTTGCTTGCTGTTGCAATTCCAGTTATTCTCAGTTCGCTTTCTAACCTATTAACTGCCGCAGGACTGACCTAATACTGCTTTTCAGCCCCAGGCAACCAGTAGTATAGCTAAGGCAACTATTTCTTATAATTTCAATTAATAATAAATTAATAGCTTTGTTGCTAAAGACTAAATAAAATTAACATTTTTGTATGTTAAAAATAAATAATAATTTAAAATTATACCAAAGTGATATCGAAATAATGTCCCAAATCAAATGGATGTCAGGAAATTACATGTTCATGCAGTTCTCTTATAGCCAGTTATTTCCATTTCAGATGCCAAATGCTGTTCTGATTTACTTAAATAATTCTGTATACAGTTCATTAACATTGAAGGGAAGCATGTGTGTGTGCTTTGTCCTGCATATTAGTGAATGTTCCACACTTGGTGTACTAATTGTCACTGATGGTTATATAATTTGTTCACTATGTATGTACCCATTCAAAGTAAATTTTCTGAAAGGATGACTTTACCTTTTAATAAACTCACAAAGTCCAGTAACAGAAAGAATGCTAAAAGTGCCCCTCCAAGAAATTGAAGCTTCATAAAAGACCATATACTTCAGTTCTCTGATTTAGTTAAAGATTTCATTTTGTTTGATACCTCACGTCAAATTTTTGATTTTTTTTTTTTTTTTTTTTTTTTGAGGAAGATTAGCCCTGAGCTAACTACTGCCAATCCTCCTCTTTTTGCTGAGGAAGCCTGGCCCTGAGCTAACATCAGTGCCCAGCTTCCTCTACTTTATATGTGGGACGCCTCCCGCAGTATGGCGTGCCAAGCAGCACCATGTCCGCACCCGGGATCTGAACCAGCGAACCCTGGGCTGCCGAGAAGCGGAACGTGCGAACTTAACCGCTGCGCCACCAGGCCAGCCCCAAATTTTATGATTTTTAATTTTTCAACGTAAAAGGCTTTTGTTTATGAAGCCTTTCTATTCTGATTTTGAAGTATAAAAGAATACGTAATGCCTTTTTTTAAAAGGTCATATGCTAAGCATTTGAAAAATTTGCTCTGGGTCAATAATATACCATTTCATTTTCAATATAGTTAATATTTTTTATGAAAATGAAATCTAATTTCAAATATATATTTTTTAAAAAGATGTTATTTAGCCAGGGCAAATTTTCACAAATGAGTTTTAAACCTCTAGAAAGAGGGCTTACGTGGCAGAACTGACATGGTCACCCTACTTGTGGTGTGAATGAACATGTAATACGATCTGTAAGCTGATGTCTGAAGACTGAAATCAACTTTCTGGATTACAAAAGCATAGTCCAGTTAAAGTTCCAGTATCCTTTTCGCAACCAACAGTGAAATAAAGTCCAGTAACATAATTTGCAAAGTGTTCAATTATATGCAATGAACTAAATAAGTATTTAGTTCTAAATTTGATGTGGCAAAACCAAGAAAAGTGATACTGTGTTTCAATGTCCTGTAAGCTCGCGCTCATCAGTGTGACCTTGATAACTTGGCGTATGTTGGCCATAACTCAGTAAAGGTGGTAGAAGGAAACAATGCCCTTGTTTTGTTGCCTGGCTGTGGGTTTCTGTGGATAACTCACTAAACTGATTTTACTCTCACTTTGCAGCAGCCAAGAGTTTGTTGAAGAAACCAGATGGAGTAAAGGTAAGTTAAACAGGTGCTCCTGAAATCACTTCTGACTTTCAGATGCTGGATAATTTTAAAATGTTAAATATAAGTCCTAAGTCTCTGCAGCTTGTATTTTTTATAGTTCCTGATAAAGGATGCAGGTTGAAGAATAAAATAATTTAATATGCAAAGATGACGAACATTTATACCAAGAGAAGCTGTATTTTTTCTATTTTATTATATATTAAATAATCATGACAAAATATTACTTTTATATTGAGTTGCTATAGAAACTGAATGTCTAAATCCTCTCTGCTTTACTATAATCCCAGAATATCATGGTGACCTGAACATCTGTGAAAACCAAATGCTTTTCCAAACAGTTATGCTGTATTCTTTGAAGCCTGCTGACATATATAGCCTGGAAAAAAATGAAATCATTTGGTATGGGAAATCGAACGTCAAATGACTAAATTTCTCTGTTTGGGCAGTTTTTATAAAGGTCTTAATTGTTCCTGTGCTTCTATCATAAGGTATTGAGAGACATACTCAAGATGTATAGTCTGAACAAATACTAGAAAAATTTTCCGAGAAAGATAACAGCAGGATATTTTGACTTTCTTGGACTTCTAAACAAAATAATACAACTCATTTTCTACTGATTCTATTTTGTTTCATGAGAATTTACCTTTGATTGAATGTAATCTTATATTTGCATTGCTTATCTTTCCAGATTATTACTAAATGTTTTATTTCTTTAATCTTTTTCTTTCTCTTCCAATGGCAGATGCCTACATTCCATATGAACACTTCAACATTCTTGGGAATTAGTTAATATTCTAACATTTGAACTTGACCCAAAGTCGGGTGGTCAATTCATTTTGAAAATATAGCATAGAAAACCATTTGTCACTTCTTATGTTCGTGACCAGCCATTTCTTCACCACCTGTCTGTGTGTGATTTGGGGAATTTCTGGAGCTTTGGTGACCATGCCATTGTGATCCCTTAGGAGGGCACTTGCCGTTGACCAATTGCCTTCCTCGACCTGTGATATTGTCTTCCTTCTGCTTAGTGTATCCAGTTTAAATTTCAGTAATGACTGTCAATGTCTGCCTTTTTCCCAATGTTACATTGGTGGAAATGTGATATTTTAGATTTTCCAAATGTTTTATTCTCCTATGTTTTTCTGTACCGTTCAGGGATGCAGGGCTCACAGCTCCTATTGAGAGATTTATTGTCACTAGTCTCCTGATATAGAAAGAAACATTTCCAGAGCTATTTTCTTCTAGTCAACTTATAACTCCCCTTTAAAGACAAAATTATTCTGTGCTCCATGCTTTGATACTTTCAAAATTCAACCGGCCATGTGTTTTTCTTTTCCTTTCTCTCTGACTGGTCAATTCAGAAAAGGAAGTCCAGTTCGAGTGTTCAAATGATGGTGAGGATTTCTATCTCCCAGATTTCTCCTCCTGTGAAAATTCACACTTAGGAATAAAACGATCTTGTGTACCTAAGTTAGTGTAAGTGGAAAGAGTGTAGGACCGTTACAGGTCAGTGTTAATTAACTATCAAAACACAGCACTCATGTTCACTTAGAACAGTTTTTCTTTGAAATTGAATTTTTTAAATATGTGAAAAGTTTATACCTTCATCCATATGATATTATCTTTTACAAGGAGAAAGTCCAATTTCCTCTTGAACCTGAAGAGACCATGACATAATTAATGTCTATTTATTGATAAGTGAAGAAACACTGTAGAATTATTTTTAAATGATGATCATGATTACTAAAATAGGAGTGCTTCTTAGTTCAGATACACCATAATACACCTACCATGGAGTTTATAAATAGTGTGAAAGTGTTCTTACAATGGACCATCCTAGTTAAGTATGTTTAGAGGAAATATTTACTAACGTCAAATAGGAATATCTCGCCCATGTGTCATGAGAATAAGTCAGTGCAGCATCTGAAGATCTGGCTTGATTCATTTTTTTTTTTTTTTACTCTTTAAGAAAAATACTCGGCTTCCATAATATAAAATAACTACATTTCACAGACAAAAGTGCCAGAGTTCTTGTATGTTTAAAAGACAGCTATAGTTGAACCCATTCTTGGTATTTGAATCTTTAAAAGGAAGTCTTCCTAGCCTTTTACTTGGAAATTTCTCCTGTTATTTTTCAGTTAATTAATATTACAAAAACCTTCAAAAGATTTCCCATAGCAAAAAAGAATCATTAAGCTAGTCTTTACATTAACAAAAATTTTTTAACTGCACATTTAAATACAACTAAATGTGTACAACTAAATATGTGGTTGAGGCACATACTCGTGTAACTCACATTTGCCACGCCTGGCAATAAAGGATGGCTCATCGAGACAGAATGGCTTTCAGTTGGAAGACCTGATGCTGTGTGTGTGCTGTGTATCGTATGTGTGAACATGTGTAGGGGTGTGTGTTGTGTGTGTGTGCGTTCTTCTGCAGATACGTATGTGTGCATAGGTGTGCCTGTGGGACATTTTCACTAAAACAAAGCAGCTCTTGGCAACCATATCCTAGAAAGAAATCAAGCCTCTTGTCTCAAAACAGAAATAAAAATCTCTCAGTGTATTTCTCTTTCATTCTTTGCATCCACTGATATAAACTGAATATAGCAAATTGAATCCATGTGGTGCTTTAATCATCAGTACCTCTGATCATGTGATAAGAAGTCAGCTGTGTTTTGCCAAGCATTCTTTCTGATAGGAAATTATTTGTGTCTGCATCCCGCCTCTTTTCTCATGTATTTTATACTAACATAAATACTGAATTTTGATCCCTCTTTAATAGACTCCATCATCTCTTATCTTTTTGGCTGTTGCACAAATTTTGTGTTATATTCTGTGAACTTATATTTAAAGAAAAACTGTAAACAAACTATCTGCAAAATATAGATTGATGGCTTAACATTTAAAGAGTTTTCCAGTAAAGGATACTAAAAGTTTTCTCTCTTTTCCTGCATGTCACAGAGCACAGTGTTAGAGCTTATTTAAATAATACTGATACCAAATAATCACACAAATGTGAATGAATAGAAAAGCAAAATATTACATACCTAAATTAATATCTTTAATCTCCTATCTTCCACGTAGTGCTAGTGTGAATATGATCTATAGGTATAAAATATGGAATTAAAAAATTCTCATAGAGTCCAAACAATTAAATTCGTGTAATTGCTTGTAAATACTCATTTGCTATTCGTTTATTTTATGCAGTGTCTTTTTCTCTTTAAGTCCTTAAGTACATTTATAGTAAAATTATAGGGTGTATTCGTTTAGATAATAATATGTAAAGAAAATACCTAGATAATATAGTGCAAGAAAATGAATGTTAATTTATATTTGTTTGAGAACCATAATGTAAGTTGTCATGCATGAGTTTACGTGAATGTTGATTATTACTTTTTAGTTTTTGATTCTTTAGTGCCCAAACTCAGCTGTCGTTTCAAGTTGCCACTTGTCTACAAAGAGTCTTCTCTGTGGGCCCGTTACGATAATCATTGACCCTCTGAATTGCTTTCACAATGTGGCTTCCGTAGTGACAATGATCTCTTCTTTAAGTTCAAACCCAATTATGTTAAAGCAGAGGAGTGATATTACCAAATATAGTCTTCAACAATAGCAGTAACACTTTGACAGAAAATATGTAGTTTTCCTCTCAAACAACGTTGAAAAATAGTCTTTTTACATTGAGTATTTGCGCATTTGTAATTGAAGATGTGTTTTTTAAAGGCGACCAAGAGTTATCATTTTTTAAAAAATATAAATCCTGAATTTCCTCAGAAGATGAGTTTTTTAATTGGATGCCTACTAAACAAAGTGATGATGGTTCCCCAGAGAAAGACAGTGTATGTGTGACTTCAGGCTCAAGAATAAAATGAAAAAAGGAATGTATTCCTAACAGTGAACAATTTGAAGCTGGGAAGCAGAATCCAACTTGAAGAGTATGAAAATGTTTCTGTTATTTCATACTCTGAAACTTGATTTGCGCTCCATTGAAGCAGCTCTTTGTTTGCTAAGGTGGCACAGCCAAAGCAGCCAAGTCTGTTTTATCATTCCATCATCACAGACACTAGCCTGTGTGTGACCATCGGAGACTAGACCTGATCATCATTCCTGTCAGTCCTCACAGTGTCTTTCATGTTCGTCTTCAGTGGGTCTTTATTTTCATGTCTATTTCTCCATGTAGACATGCTGCATATAGAGACATTGGCTACCCAGGGGTTTAAGGCATCTCTGTTTCTATTTTCTGCATACCTACAGATAAACAACAAAGCCAACGTGGTAACCAGCCCCAAAGAAAATATTCCTACCCCGGCGCTGGTATACCTGGACTCTTTGTAACCCTTCTTAAGTTCTTTACTGTTTTCTGTTGTTTCTCTCATTTGCTTTCACTATATAGATACATATATATAAATATTTTCTTTTGTTGGGTTTTGTTTTTGTTTTTGCTTTCTCTAAGATGAAAAACGTTCTTTTTTTTGTTTTCTTTTTGTTAAGGTAGTTGTCAAGCAGTGTGTTTCTAACATAAGATGACCTCATTTCATTGTTGAGCATTGTATTGATAGCTGTGGTCTCTGTAGTTGACATCGTTGCATGCTGCCTTAGAAATGCAGTAGAATGCGCTTTCGTGGCTCTTAGCTCTTCTTCTGATGATAGCTCTAGATTATGCAGACAATGGTTTCTTCCTTTCATGACGCAATGTTGACATCAAGGAGAGCTAAGGGGATGATTGCTAGACAACTGTCAATGTAGACCTTATTCAGAGTCCTCATGTTCCTCTTATTAAAAGACAGCAGGGCTTTGTAAGACCTCACCTTCTGAGATAAAGAGGTACTAGATAATTTAAGGCTTTTTGTTTGTTGTGTTTTAAATTAAATTATCACTGTTTCACTTTAATCCAGAGAATGAAATTGCATATCTGAGAGCTTTGTGTTATCAATGGAAAATACTTTTGTCATTTCAATCAAATTCACACCATTCACAACTAAATCAGTTTAACACTTTGAGACAGTGTTGTTAAAATTTGAGATTTGAATACTGGCATTCAGTGCTCTGAGTTCCATAATATTTCCCCCAAACTATTCCATATTTTGATTTATGATTTTCATAAATGTTTCTGATTTTCTGCTGTGCTTGGTACTGTTATTTCAAATAAATTGAAAATGTTAGGGGATTATTTCACTTGGGTTGACCGAAGGCTCAAATTAAAAACATTTAAAGGAAGGATACACCAAAATAGCAAGTTACCTATTAGTAAAAAAGAGTGTTGATCACACCTCTAGCCGGGAAAAGGAAGAAAGGAAGCAGTGAATATGTTCTCTAAGTACAGCAGCATAAACTGTGGTGGAGAGGAGATCCGAGAGCAGGGAAGGCACTTGCGGTTGTAGTAACACCCGGTTACTGAGACATCATGTAATGAAAGTGCCAAGCATGCCGTTAACGTATGGACACTGAATCGTTTTTTAAATCAGTTAGAGTGTTATTTTCCATGTGGGAATATTTCTTCAATTTTCTAGTAGAAAGCAATAGGAGGAATAATATTTTCTTCATGGAAAAGCATGACTTTACAAGGAAATTTTCTGTATATATTGTCCATGAAGCAGAAATTTCTTTTATCTATGAATTAACACAGAATTTAACAGGAACTATATCTCAAATTATGGTGATTATACAATTAGTTCTAGAACCCTTTAAATGAACTTTTTAAACGTTCCTTAGACTTTCTTATGGACCTTTGAAATAGATTCTTTAGGATAACCCCTTTTTTAAGCATGGTCCAATGGTTGTAGATTTTCCAGGGGTATTTATCTGTGTATTAACTATAGTGATGACACCATAATCAATTCTCAAAGCACTACAGCTGAAAAATATCTTCACAAGAATTTGAGATTATCTCAAAGAGTTCTAGTCTCCAGTGTCCTTGGCTAGTTTCCCATGGGGCAGATATTAACAGGCTACTTATTAAAGAAGAAAGGAAAGCTCTGTCTGGTACAGGACTCTGTGAAACAGTGAGTGCCTCTTTAGGTCTCCAAACTTCAAAGCCTTGTCTGTGTGCTGATCACGAATAAGGTCTTTGCATGCTGCTGCTGGGTGCTGAGGTGTCCTCTCTCATGGGTGCACCAGGGAGATCTTTCATCAGAGATCTTGTCAGCTGCGACCTCTGACGGTAGTTAACATCGCTTAAGCTCTTGTCACTATTTAGTTTTGTCAGCTGGCTCACTCTGCTCTGTCCCTCACACTAGTAAGAATGTACTTACCAATGCGACCTGTTTCTTTCTCTATTTTGTTCTCACTCAGGAGCCCCAAACTACTGTAATCCACAACCCTGATGGAAACAAGGTATTCAGAAAGAATCGACATCATCTTGCTTTAACAAGATTACACATCTCATCAAATATGCAAGCAAAATTAATTCACTATCTAAAAATAGGAAAGAAATTCCTCACCCTTTTTCTGCCACACTTTCTTTTGGGCCTAATTTATCTAGAACTGTACACATATTTTTTTCAAAACAAAAATGAATGACATCTTGAAAGAGAAATGAATTATACCGTTAGTCAATAAAAGTCGGGTTAAATAAAGTCTTCATGTCAAGATGACTGTGTATCTTAAGCAATTCCATCTGGTCTTTTTTTTCCCATGCCTGTCTGTGCATTGTACTGTAGATGTATTCTGCATGAAATTTTAGAATTTCTTGCTATATCATTCCACTGTCTTCAAAAAAATCAATTTGAGCTCATAGGTATTTGTTTAAATGTTGCTTTTATTTATTCTTTTGTCATAGTGTTTTTTTCTTTTAATTTCTTGTTGATGTTGTTTGGTGTGAATTTGGGGAGAATCAGGCTGTTTCACTTCTTGTGAAATATGTTTGTTTTTGTTGAGTTATATGCCTTCAGTAGCAGACGTTTAACTACTTACACTGTAGGAAGACTGTGATGTTTCCTATCTGTTGTAAATTGTTCGCATAGCATGTTAACTAAATAACAGTACTTGCATACACGTCTATAGGATGAAAGGAGACATTTTCTGAATGTACACCATGTTCCCAGTTTATTACTTGTCATACAGTATTATATCTCTAAGGGGAGGAAAAAAATACTTCTTATACTTTTCTCAAATATTAAGTGTAGTCATGGGTCTTCTCCTCATTTTTATCAACAATGTTTAAGGCTTAGAAAACACATTTCCTCTGGCTTAACATTTCGTTGATCGATACTAAAATCATTGAAGTAAAAAACATGAAGTGTTCTTTCTTTATTATGAGATGTATTTTATAGTCATGATACTTAAAGTGTTCTAAGTCCCTAAAAGACATGAGGTAGTCAGGAGCATCACATATGAGAACAATGTTTTCCAACATCATTAGCAAATGAAAGACCAAGCATAGCAGCTGGAGTGGACGCTTCGCTAGCTCTAGCTATGTCATTTGTAAGAGTTGCTGCATGATATTCCCTGCTTACATGAAGTAGTTTTTTTACAGTGCATGGGTTTACCTTCATCTCGAGTTTCAGTTGAACACTAGGGCACGTTAAGAAACGCATGAAGACTCTTTGCTTTGGTTTTGTGTGTATGGAGACTCTGGATACATCTTTAATTAATCAGTCTGTCCCTTTGGTTTAAATATTACATATGATGTTTATATAAATTGATTGCTTTTTTGAATACTGAATCTCTAAAAGGACACTGACTGGCGTTTGCATCGTTTTCCAAAATCTGTTTTTCATCACTGAGCACGTAGCTATTGATTAGAAGTTTGTTTCCAACTTTTTTCAGCTCTATCCTTTAATCATTTCAAGTAGAAAATTGTGTTTTTCTTATGAATATTACTAAATTTCTTTGCTAGAAAATATTTTATTAGTACATTATTAGTGGAAAAATTTATTGAATCATTTTAAGGAATGTATTTTATTACTGGCAGTTACAGTGTCCTTTTAAGTGTGCTTATTAATTTTCAACTTCGTTTATAGTTTTACAGAGAAATAGCTTTATCTTTTCATTATGGGAGCAGGTTTCATATCAGGAACAGCCAGTTTCTAATATAGAAATTAATGAAAAGAATATGATTGTCCTTGAAAGTAAATTATTCATTATAATTCCATTGTGCTGACCACAAACATGGAAGTTCTTCTTAAAGACACTTTTAGCATATCTCAGCTTAGTACCCTCAGCTTCTTCATCAAACCATGTGGTGAAATGCTTTCTCTCTTTACAAACAAATAAGGCAGACAAATGGGCTGTGAATTCAGTGCTTAATATAGTGACTTACACAAAGAAGGGACTATTTTACTCATTAATTGGGAATTAAAATTGTTCTATTTTAAGATTCAACGTCATTTTCATCAATACATAGAAAAAAGCACACCTTATGGGGCACTGTAACACAAACACATCTTTACCCAGTTCTTAAAATAATTTGCATACTTCAGCTGCTTCTCCAAATCACCTAGATTTATCCTGCTTCAGAGATTAGACAGCCAGAGTACTCCCTTTTTTAAATGTTTGCAGCATTTGGCATTTTATTTCTGTTAAAACCACATAATGTATTTGTCCATTTGCATGTCAGCATATGCACACAGCCTGCTGAAGAATTTTGCATGATATATACATCACTTGCCAATTTTCTAAGAAGAAAATCAGTCAAACTATTCATTGTTTGCAACTTAAAGTGCGTTTTCTTCTCAACAGGAGTCAACAGAGAGTTCAAATACAACAATTGAGGATGAAGATGTGAAAGGTATGATTAAGCTGGGAACAGAAAATTGTAACTGAGATTTCCATATATATCAGAAAAAAATATCTATTTGTTGCAAATGACTAATGAGTTTAGGAACTAGGACACAAAAATAATTTTCTTTTTGCAAGTACATTATTGTTTTGGTTATATGTATTGATTTTGTCAATTTTTTTTCACATTTTCTGTTTTTAAATTATAGACAGTGTGTGGTATATTCAAGCACATTGTGCTTTTAAACTAGTAATGACTGTTTAGAAACATAGTATCAAAAGGAAATATAAAAATGTATTACATACATTCATGAAACCTTCCAGAAAACAATTTATATTCAAGAATGGAATATGTAAATAGGCTTTTTTTTTTTTAAACTTGGAATGGTCTTGAGTGGGTGTCAATGGAATTTCACATTTGGCAGCCGTTTTTGGGGCGTGGGGTGAGGAAGATTGGTCCTGAGCTAACGTCTGTGCCAATCTTCCTCTATTTTATGTGGGACGCTGCCACAGTGTGGCTTGATGAGTGGTGCTAGGTCCACACCTGGGATCCAAACCTGCAAACCATGGGCCACAGAAGCAGAGCAGGCCAATTTAACCACTGTGCCAGCCCCTTTGGCAGCCTTTTTATCCTGGTTTTCAAGTGCTTTCCTAATATATACTTGCCCTCCATTCAGTTCAGTTGCCCAAGTTCTTTTAGCTGCACACAAGTCATTGCCAGCGTTTCTACTGACGTCTTCTTAGTGCCTCTGCTCACGCACACTAAACACACGTTTGCAGTTAGCTTACTTCTTTTTGGTCTCTTGCTATTTTAGAAGTATTAATTTCGCTTCAATTGCTTTGCAGTTTTCTATTCTCATTTTTGTAATTCATTGCACATAACTACAGTTTCTACAGGCCACTTGTCTAGAAGCCATTCCAAAAAGGGATGGTAGCAATAGAGATATTTAAAACAGAGGTATTAAAGGAAAAGAAGTTTAAAATAAATTCAGAGAAATGATCCATCAGTGCTTAAACCCTATCTGGAAAGATTATTTTCCTAATATTATCACGTAGGCTTTAATTCTGTAGGTGGTATTAGTACAATACAGTCTTGAAAAATTATATTCAGGTTATAGAATAAAGAATGGGGAATTTCTCAGATCAAGGAAACATATAGGCAATTTAGGAAATAAAAATGGCTAGAGACCACAAGTTGCCAGTCACCTCTGCTGATATTTTCCTCTTGGTTGAGTGGAACAGCCAACACTGTTAAAGTGTTCCCTGTTTATATGACTAGCTAGAGGTAGTCAGTCATTATTTTTCACAACGGGAAGGTGCATAGCTGTGTCAAGGATGTTATTCAGTAGGTCTGTTCATCTCATTCTTGCCCCTGAGCTAAACTGAAGTAATTTTTTGAATCACTGATGCCAGCCGTATTAGGTAAAGAGAATCCTTTTTTTAACCAAAGGAGCAGATGTGCCATTTAGCTTTCCCAGTGATTCAGAAAGCATCATCTTTATATTTTGGGTTCATTAGCCATTTCAGCCAAGCAAAATGTTTATATGATTTTTTACATCCTTTCCTTGAGCAAGAATCAGAAGGAGGAAATAACCTGTGCATTATCCACTGGAGAGACTGAATCCTTAAATAATTGAATACAGTTAGTTAGGATACTACCAACACCTTACTGTGTGCGGTTCGTGCTCCAAGGAAAATGTTTATTCGTTGGTGCTCACAAGCAGAGTTCTCATAAGTGGTCTTTCTCATCTGAATGTGACTCTTCATTATACTGAGTATTGTTGTAGGGTGATTGCTGTTAACCTATGTAAATATCAGTGTATAAACACAGTCCCTGTCAGTCATACCTTATAATTTATATGTTTTTGGTGAAATGAAGTTGTATAAGCAGTTCTCAGAAAACAGTCCCTTCTTCAAATCACAATGATGATATAGGTTTCATCTTGGCTCTGGGATTTCACAAATTGAGACAGTATTTGTCTTTATAGTTATGCTGAGCCTATACACATCAAATGTCAGAGAAATTAAGTATAATTTTGAGATCAAAAGATGTGTCCAGTTGATAACTGAGCCCAAAGTGCTTTGGTTTATTTCCTTGAACTCAATGAATAAATTAAGTTTCTGCTCAAATTTACTAGTGTGGATATGGTCACAGAGTCCTAGATAGAACACATTAGGGCTCGTTGGTGTTCTCTTTAAGATCCATACAGCCTTTTGGTGGCTAACCTTCTTAATATTGAACATCAGAAACCTTTAGGAGACACTTTGAGAGATCCCCCAGAGCACTGTTCTGACTGTGAGACAAATGGTACATGAAACTGTCATAAATGTTTTCCACATACGTATTATTCTGGCGATATGCTTGTATGGGAATTTCTCCGTTAATCAGTGCACAGTCCTTAAGAAAGACCATAATAAATTTCCACATTTGAATGACTGCTGTCTTCTTTTTACTTCAGAGGTTGCTGCAGCTCTAGGTAGATTGGTTAGGGATGTGTTTATTGTCCAGCTCCCTTAGAAGCTAAGTTTACCTATATATCTAGGAACTCACAAAGACCGTCAGTGATAGAACCTGACCAGAACCATACCCTCTCTACAAAACCATGCCCTATCTACAAAACTGCCTGTCTTCCACACATACACTTTCCACTCCTATGCCTTCTGTATATAACCCTATTATCAGGGTGAAACACCACACTTTGCAACAGACTCTTAAAGGCATGTTCCCATAGTGCACGCCTGTGTGCAGCCACATGCTCCACCCATTCCTGCTGGCCGTCCCACCTAAACCAACACCTAGACTTACGTTGTTTCATGGTGAGACATGATCCCTTGAATACCATCTCACATGCTTCTCATGCTAGTGCAGTGCACATTCTGTCCCATCCCCAAGGACCAATCTGGCAGTAACAGCTTCTACATCCTTTCCACTGTAAAGAAACAGAGAGAGAAAAATTAACACATCCTGGTGACATGGCCAAAGGAGGAACTGAGGTGAACCAACAGTAGAGTACCTTTTTCTGGCCTCTTGTGAAGGAAAAAGGTAGAAAGGCCAGCTGTTCTCAAAAGAGGAGGAATGCAGAAGTGTCATAGGTTAATGGTCCTCACATTCGGAGGAACCTGGAGTACCTAGAGAGCCAGGATTTGGAGAAGATCCATTTTCCTTGAGCTCTGCTTGTTAGCTTCCATTCAGAACAGCCTTTGGTTTTCATGAAGCCCCAATCTATGCATTACTCTTGAATTGTATCTAGGTTATCTCAGTTTCTTCATTCAATTAAGCAAATATTTACTGAATGCCTACTGTTTCCCTGAACATCTTCTCTTTGTGAACTAGTCCTATTTAAGAGCTTTCAACAACTTGGAGTCAAACATTCTTCTTTATGCTTTATATGAATCTTCTATGCTATAATTTAGGCCATTTCTCTTATTTAGTTCAGTAGATATCAGAAAAACTTAATGAAAAGCTGAGACCCAAGATAAATGTATTTTATGTCTAAAAGTCCTTTTATTTTCTTCTTCTTAAAAACTTTCAGCATTTAGTTACAATCACAACATTTTCCTTCCCAAGCTCACGGTCATCCTGAGGGACTTGCATTGTTTTCCAACTCTTCTTTTTAAAAAGCTTCTAGAGTTTGTTGTTTTCTTTCTCCAAGGCAATGTATTGACTTCCTAATGTTGAACTTTTGAGCAACTTCCTAATTTTGTTCTGTATTCAAAAACCAAATATCATCTCTAATGCTATGTCAGTAAATTCAGCCACAAACTCAGTGTAGTGGAAAGATACTATAGTTTAAAAACAAATGGGAGTCTTAATGAAGCATAGTTATTTCCACAGAAGCAACTGAGATAAAAAATAGCCTATTGTACAATCAAAAAAGAAAAAATTCCTATTAGAATTCACTGGCGTTTTCAAAATATGAATTTTTTTAGGTCTAAAATTGTTGAAATAGTCATTCCGTTTTGAATCCATTTGTAGTAAAGCATTACTTTGATTAATTTCAGGTGTTACAGAACAGCTGCCGTCAGTAGCCTTGAATTAGTAGATGGCAGTACTAACAGTGCTGCTCTCTGAGCGTGGGTGGCCCCAAAGCAATGGTCCTTTGGGCACTGTATACATTTGAAGACTGTCCTTTTAGTTTGTGGCTGTAGCCCCAGTTCGCAGGACCTGTCGCTGTTTGCCACAGCGCCTCTCCGCCTCATACCCTGTCCAGCATCGTTGCTCAGAGCCAGCTCCGTCTTCCTGATGGGAGTGCATCGGTTTGGTCCATTTTCTGCTCTTTCCCAGAATTCCAAGTTGTGCAACACTTGTCAAAGTTGTCCTCCTGTCTGCCCTTATGTCATCTCTGTCACTCATCCTGCTTCCACAATCTCACTTCAGCTCACCGCTCAGCAGCTGCTTGGATCTCTTGCCGCATTTCATCTTTCTTACAGGCCTAAGCCAATGGAGCCCTGTACAGCAAACAGAAGTGCATTGCTATAAGATTGACTGTGTGTGGGGACTTCAGTCTTGTTTATCTTTTTCCTTTTGCTGACAAGTACATGATGGTAAGGAAGCTGCATGTTTGCAAAAGGCCCAATTAAGGGCATAGGTGCTGCCACCCCTGCACCTGAATGGGGCTGATGTTTCATGCCACCTGGATATCATGGTCTCAGCTCATCTACAGAATCACTTGATTAATGAGCTTTCTGTCTTTTGTAAATCTGTACATGAGTGGAGAGTGTGATCACTAAATACGCAGATTTGAAGATTCTCAAATTCTGTTTTCAATGAAAATCTGCACTTCTGTGTAGGAGTCCTTGGGACAGACAATCGCATGGTGCCAGTCTTCTTCAGTTCCACATGCGGTGTATAACTGAGTGCTTGTCCTGCAGGCATTTCTTACTTCAAGGGAATCTGCAAATCAAGAAACTCCTGGGTATTTTATTTAAGGACCTTTGATAATTCTGTCATTCCGTTAGGTTAAAAGGATCTTAGAAGACCTGTAGTGCAGCGTACACTAACTTCTTTCA